AAGAAATGTTGATGATGTGCATTAAAAGTGAAACAAAACTAAATTAATCTCACATCTAGATTACGTAAAAGCGATGCAGAAATAGAATGCAGCATTTTTCTTCTTTTGGTGTAGATTTCTTAACGTATGGCATGTAAAATCTCCGCACATGACATGAAAGAAAAAGACACCAATGAATTAAATGTAACATATCAATAGTGACATGTAAATAAAAAGAATACTATAAATGACATGTCCTCTCATATTGTTTTTTTTATTTTAGAACGGATGTAGGATACTTTAGACTTGACATACCACGCGTATCGATTTTGCTTTGATATCGTTAACTGGGAAATAGCAAGCAGGCAGCCACATACACACACACACACACACACACATATGCGCATTTAGATCGATCGATCTCCAGGCACCCATATGTTCGTCTTCCAAAAGCGAAACTGCCGCGCAGTTTCAGAGATATTATCGCAATTTGACATTTATATTGAACTTAAAAAAAAAGCCACATATGTATGTACATATATCGGAAAAACGATAAAAAAACCTCGGATGAATTTCAAATATTGTTATATATGTAATATATGTATATGTTCATGTATATATGTACATATATATACATATATAACAATAAACAAATAATCGTTTTATATATATAAAATATTTTTTTCTCTCTTTTTTTTCTTCATATTAGTAAAACTTATATAAATTTATATATTTGAATTTCTATTCTTGATTTTTCAAGAAAACTGTTTAAACTATAAAATAATATTACAATTGTGTCTGTTGGACAAAATTAAAACACAATTGAAATAAGAAGTAAAAAACAGGAATTTGTTTACATTAAATAAACATTTTCTTTTTATCTCTCTTTTTTTCTATATTTTCAATTATTTATTCTAATATGACTGCGCATTGTTTTATAGCAAAATATGTAAACATAGAAAATTATAACTATTATTAGAATAATAACAAACGCGAGCATCACTCTTGACGTGTCAGTTCTACCTGAGAGCAAACATCAGTTTCCAAACAGTTAGTTAGGAGTCGAGATGTGATGTTCCCAAACGCTAGCTCTAGTTATGCAAGTAGTTACTATCGTTTTCGAACAGGTCGTCAGAATCTCAAGGCGGCAGGAAACGTACATGTGTCACTCTTGATAACAGCTGATTACGATGAGCTCGACGAGATAACAAACAGTATAGTTTAACGTAACACAATGTACGCAAGATACGCGCTCTAAACGGATAAAACTCGCTATCATCTGCGTCTTTAAACATCGTTTCCTCACGGTTTGAAAGAGATTAATGAACGTACCGTAAATTTAATTGATCGTAAATGTAAGCGAAGATTCGTTAGAGTGCAAATTAATTATTAAATAAATTCTGCTTTAGTAGTCATCCTTTACATTGATCAGGGAAATTCAACGCGATATAAAAACCCGAGAAAAAAGTGCTCGCTTCAATAAGTCAAGGTAGTAAAACCGAGGGATTAACCTTGTGTTCTGAAAATATTATCATCCGCAAGAGAGGAAAGGATTTTCAAGCCTTATGGGACGTATCTAACACATTGTGTTGCCAGTGGATGAGATTACGTCGTGCCTGTCAACGTTTGTGACGTTTGCATTATGAAACGCAACAACGTGTTTCTCTGGTCTAAGGAAATCTTCATCGAATTGTCAAACTTCACAGCAAAGAAACAAAAGAGAAAAACCCAAGAATTAAAGTGAGAAAATAATATTCTTTAGAATTTGTTTTCCGAAAAAAATGAAAAAAAAAAAACGTTTCTTTCTCCAGTACAAGAAATAACAATGAAAATTTGTCTAATAAAAAACTAAACCAAAAATATTGTTCAGTGAAACAAATTCTGTTATTCAAATCTTTACAGCTTAAGTTATTATTCATCCTCTAAAGAGATTCATGTGCCTGATCTAATAAACAGGTCAATTTACATAAGGCTTATTTTCCATATCAACAGCCACAAAAATTAAATTCGCTGAAATTTCACCGGTGATATCGAAAGCTTTTAAAGTTCAGACAGAATTGTAACTTTTCTAAAACGAATTATTTCTCGGAAAGAGAGACTATGTGCTTTTTCTTAAGAGATAAATTTTCCCGTTGTCGCATTCACATAAAATTGTTGAAATATTGTTTGCAATAGTTTCATCATTTTTAATTAGTTTACAGATAAACATTCTAATCGGAACGCGAATGTATTAGAGCTCATTTCCATAAACTTTTAAATAAAAAATCGTACGTGATTTTCAATAAAAAGTTTATAAAACATAATTTTTTTAAATTTTAATATTAAACATTAGATTTGTTATTATTAATCTTGCCATTTTTCTTTGTATCTTGATTTTAGTATATCAGTTCAAATGTGTAATTATACTGTGCAAAAGAAGAACTACACAAAAATCAATTTTTTTGAGATTACCAAATTTTGCTAATCTGAATCAATATTTGATTTAATTTACGAAATTTTGGTTATCTGAACAAAACTGTTTTTTTTTTTTTTTTCAGCGTAAAAATACATCGCAAGAGTAATAAATTGTTTCAATAAACTCGGTTGCATTATGAAATCGATTAAAAATACAAATGTGTATTACACACAATGCACGTTATAAAATAAAGTTTACGTTCAATGATCCGCCAGAGTTCCCGCCAAAAGTCTGTCACGGTGACAGACGAAGAACGTGTTTCATCGCGATTACTATTTCGCAATTTGCTACGCGACGTTCCGGATACTAGCCGCACGTGTGGGCAAGCGCGCGCGAACAAAATGCGAGATTCCTCCCTCAAACAGAGAGACCGCGAGAGAGTTTACGGTACGCACTAAAAATAGCGGCACCCATAAAACTGCGAGAACCATCACGCGGACAAGCGAACGCGGCCACGACGACGTCGACGTTGCGGCGATGCAACACTCGTTCTTATGCACTTCTCTATATCGCCACCTCGTCTCTTCCGCGCGGAATTCTATTTATTTTTGAAGTATTCCAGATTATTTGAAGCGCGCAGAAAGTCGCGCCGCGCCGCGAACGAGGCGCCCGACAACGTCGCTTGGATGCGGCGTAACGACGCCAACCGTCGTCGCGTTGTTCTTTTCCTCAAAAAAACAATAATTATACAAATAACGTAAAGCTATATATACTCACGGGATCCGTACTCCGAATGAGAACAGAAGCCCCGTAGTCGAGGATGATCATTTCGACACGCTGCGCTTTCTGGTGCGCGACGTCTCGCGTTTACGGAGTATAATAATTGTCCCGGCGCGCTTCTTTCTCTTCCTGGTTTTCATTCACCAGCAGCGACGACGGCACCTTCCTCCGCGCGACACCATCGCGACGCTCATGATCGACGACGACGACGACGACGACGACGGTGACGATGATATGACAACGGGGACGACGCCTGGTCCACGGTGACGACGACTCTCTAGCTCGGTCGTCTTTACACCTCGTGCACACTGTTGTCCCGTCAACGTTGACGTGCGTGCGTGGGTGCGTGCGTGCGTGCGTGCGTGCGATGCGTGACGCTCTCACGCAGAGAATCGCGCGATCACGCGTGCCCGCGGCAGCCGCGGTCGATCCTCGGAATCCATGACAGGTGTACGCGCGATACGTATACGTTGATACGTGTTCACGAGAACGGCGAAGCAAGACGAGAGAACGTGAATCGCATGCGCCGCGCTTGAGGTAAAAGTCATCACGCTGTGTGTCGGCGCCTGGCACATAGACGAGAAAACTCGCTGGTGGAAATTCGAAGCGTTTTCCACGCGCAACACGGCCGCGTGAAATTGTTGAAACATACGCGTATTAAAGAAAAATTATGTGTTGACACACTAGAAATATTTTTTGACGATAAAGCATGATAACAGAATAAAGATTTATACTTAGGCAGTTGAGTCAAATGAAACAAAAGAATAAAAAGTATATGAGAGAAAGAATTAATCGCTGTGATCTGTATGTTATTATTATTATTATTTTTTTTATAATCTTGTTATTTATATTTTAGAATCATTATTTCTTTATATATTTGCTCTAAGTTTTTTAAAGCACTTTGTGCTCGGAGTTCGAAATGTTTGAGTGTCTGTCTGATTAAATAGATTGCAGCTTCTTCACGACGTAAAAATAGCGCTAATATTAGATACCAATGCGATGATCGAAGCGATTGATATAAAACACATTTAATCAATATATGACACAACAATGCATCGAATTCGAAGAACAAGTTCTTAAGAGATACGAAAAAAAAACTGAAGATACGAAACTATTTATATGCAATTTGCAAAAAATACAAAAATATGCTAGTAAAAAACCTGAAGCAAAGCGTATTGAAGCGCGTTGACTACTTTATCGAATTCGAAAGATATTCGAGCGAGAGATCGCTAGAACGATACATCGATTATCGTTCGATAATCGATGAGATAGAGCTTTAGCGCGCTTCGATGTCGCGAGATTCTTCATTTTTTTTCTACATACAGAAGCACATCTTTTTGTTTTTAGTCTCGTGAATAGTTTTGTTTTTTATCTCCAACTTACTTATCTTGAAAACTCCTGATCTTAAGTGTTGTTTACAGTCGTCATATTGATTGAAGGTGAGAGTTTTTATATCGAATTTTACGATCATCGCGTTATCTAAGTATTATTACGCGAACGGCGCAATTATTTTCTCCAGTAGTCGCGGCGTAAGTATTCTTATATCACGAAAGCACCGCAATCTATATGTAAAATCAGAATATAATCGATTATTCGTGTTAATGCTAAATCCTCTCAGCATATATGCACTGCCATATCCAGGTGCGTGAAATAGATAATAGATTGTACATAATACAAAAAAAATTTTTGATTATCAAATACAAAATAATGCGTAACAATAATTTTACGCGTGCATATATTATAAATTGTTAGTGTAATATTTGAGTTTATTTTGTTGCATATAATATTCGGGTCAGTGATAGACAGGGAAGCAGGATAACATGTAATTGAATTTACAATACAGAAATAGTTTTGCTTTACACGTATATTTTATTATGTGTGAGAGCGTTTCACAATATAGAGAGACAGAATTAATTACGCTCGTATATCGATTAGTATTTCTTCCCATTCTTACTCCCATGCACAAATACAGATAGTATCCTATAGTGTTCTACATTTTTATTGAATGCATCTCATTTCAGAATCTTGTACGAATGATCCGTAATATATAGATTTGTTCGCTCGAACTCTAGATATTCAAGAGGCCACAATATGTAACTCTGTGTTACACATGCAAGAGTTACATAAGGAATGACTACTTCAATTCGTGTTACATGTCGACATACAGAAATTCATCATAATAATACATTAAGGGTCGACAGGAGTAATGAGCAAACTTCGAGTTGATACACAAAAAAGAAAGATCTCATAATAGTCTTGTTTACTCGCTTACTTTACTCAGTTGTATTTCGTGTGCACACACACACGCACGCACACTCTCTCTCTCACTCACTCACTCACACACATACACGTGTGACGATTATTCGAGTCTTCTAAGACTCGGAGAGACATTATTTCTTTATGAATTTTGCTTTACTTTATTCCTCACATAAAACGTGCAATATAGAGCCAAATTGTAAAGTTGGCTTTTAAGATAGTTATCGCGTTAGAATCGATTTCTTGTCAACTCTTCCAAATTTGAACTACTATTAAGCAAAAGGCTTTTCAAGCGCTCGTGAAATTTCTAAGTATTTGACCGTTCCAAAGTTGAGATAATTACAATTATAAATGACATTTTTTACATGTATTATATGCGTAAAGCCACTCAAAAATGCACATTTAAAACTCTAGCTATTAAACTATATTTGCGACATTGATAAAAAAAAACTAGAATGCGGTAGATTAAAAGAATACTATAAAAAAAGTTTAGAATTATTGACCGTCTAGTTGTCGAAATAAAGCCGCGGAAAGATTATATTTCTTGACAAGGCATAGTTAGACAAGTAACAGCGGCAACAACGTCGCCTTTCGCACAACGTATTTAGATCTTTAGACAGTTTTTTTGCAATTTTCTTGCCTCTGTCATACTTAATATTGTTTTTAAGTGTTTTTTTTTTAGTATCTGTATTGAAATTGAAAAGTTATTTTAATAGTTTTGTTTGACAGCTGAGCAAACTGACAGATTTCGTTAGACGCGCGCGACGTTGTGTCAAATTGCCGTTCGATATGTACAGCGTGGACAGTCGCTACTAAAAGTTTACCGCATTGGCAAAAAATAAAATTATTTAAAGAGATTTTGAGCATAATAAAACTACTTATTTATTTCTACATTAATGACATGTCGATAAAATAGAGTCTGAAATATTCGTACGACATGAATCAAATTTTGAGAATACTTTTGTGTAGCGTAAAATTAAACTTTTGAATAAGAAATACTATCGCGCGATAAGTATCTTAAAAATGATTGATAAATAAAAAATACGAATTGTAATATACGTCAGCAGAAATGTATATAAATTAATGATGTTTTTTACTTCAATCATTTTTCCAAAATAAAATCGCTCTGTACTGCAAAAGAATGGATCTTCCTTGATTATGACTAATGATGTTAACTTTTTTTTTCTTTCACACTTTAGTTTTAAAAAAACTTGAACAAAGTTTCTAAATTCCACTAAACGTTTTTGAACAATTCCTGTGGACCCTTAAAAAAATATTTATCATATAACGTAATTCTGCAAATATGTTTCACAAACATATTTTCATCGGATATCAACTCTAAAAGTAAATCAATATATCGTAAAACTATATATTATAAATATTATTTATATAATTTGTATAAATTTTCACTGATTGTGCTGTAGTATGTGTATAAATGAAGCAAATAATGATTTAAAATCTCAGAAGCATTTAAAGAGAAAATATATAAACAATTCATGATAATATATCTAATTATTGTCTTTGGCAACAATTTTATAATAAAAAAATTAATAAAATCTGGACATAATTTCTATGAACTAGTTTATTTGAATTCAGCTAAATTATAGAAATAAAACTGAATAATAAAAACATTGGCACGAAAGAAGCATGTCTGATACCGATTGTTATAATTGTTCGTCGAACATGTTTTTTCACGTGCAAAAACCCACATCTATTTTCCATTCTGAATATTTTTTCCTATTTAGCATTGCCAATAAAAACAACTAAATTCAAGTTTGTTTTTATTAATACATAGCGTGATGTAAAAACTTTCTTGTGGTTATAAATTTTGTGTCAATGCAGAGATTTCTCTTTAAACGACATGTTCGTAATTTCACTATATGTCGGCTCTGTTCGGTCAGTACTGAAAGTCTATAGGTTCACGTTACGTATTCTATAGATTTTTCAGTACTGCTAGTAATAATCGAACAGGGCTTACGTTACGTGTTGTACTCGAAATTGGTCACCGAACAATTTCAGGTTGTTGCTTCGAATATGCGCTACAATGAAATAATCTCAATAAACATTCAGTGATATTCATAATCATAGTTTCCACTTTGAGATTAAAATTATCTTTACAAGTATCTTTATTTACGCCACGGCGTATTTGCTCGGGCCATTAACATCGCGTTTCGTACAAGCCGCTGCGTCCTATGTAGCGAACCCATTTAATCACATCGTGATCAGAATAATTGAGTTTGGATTCGAATACTTTCAAGTAGCGCACTTTAAAACCGGATGGTGCGAAAGGCACCTCGAAGTTCATCGATATCGGCGGTCTTGTCCATTTCTTTTTTGTGTCCGTCTCAAGTAGATCGATCTCAGCTGACAGCTGTGTTTCCTTCATGCCGGCCATACGCTTTATCTTCCACACGATCGCGTTTTCCGACGCTTTGTATTTTGCCTTACCCTTCAAACAAATCAACTGTACGCCAGCAGTATTCAACGGCGTCGGTACGCGGACTTCTATCTTCTGTCCTAGCAACGTAGATTTAAAATTGGACTTCAGGACCGCTTTGACTTCCATCTTCGTTCGACCTACTTCACGAACTAACGGTATTACACGGAAAGGCAACGATATATCTTTTGTTGTACGATATCTGTAATAAAGTGTAATAAAGAAAACATATAGTGCACAGAATATTTTTATACTTGAATGATATTCACTTGTACAGCAAAGTGCACTATATCGTTCCCAATTAAAGAAAGTAGTTCTCTTCTGATCTTTATCAACGGCCCAAATATACTCACCGGTATATAAATCGGATCTCGGGCCGCTTCAGAAGGAAACCGAACGGCGCGCGATAGTAAGAGGTGGAAGAGAACTACTTCTCTAAGCACGATATAGTGTACTTTACTATATGTCAATTTGTCAGTAAAATAATTCATATATAGAAAAGTACCTCATCAACTCAAATTCACCATCAGGCGGTATAAAACTAATGGAATGTTCGGTCTCGAATTTGCTAAGCTTAACACACTGATGAAATTGGCAATCATCAATAACAACAACTGGCTTGCCGGATCTAGCACCAGTGGGATCGTCACCACCTCCTCCAAGTCCGCCACTTCCTTTCATACCCTTAGCTTCCATTACGATTTTGTCGTTAATTCCGAATTTACATTCGGGCATACCGGACAAATAAGATTTCATCACGACCTAGAAAAAATTTTCAGAATATAAAAGATCATATGTAATTCCATCTTTTTTATAAAATAATTTACCTTTCCAGCAACATGAGCGCTAAGGACTTGGCCTTGAGGACTCATTAAAAGATTCACATATTCCAGTACATCTAAAAAGAGTTCATTGCGTCTATATTTAATACCCTCTCGTCTCCACCCAATCTGACCAGTGACCTGTGATGTTATTTGAGCTTGTTCTTCTTTGCTGGCTGACTTTACACCTTGTTGAGTAATAAATGTTTTCAATACTCCTGTATCACAGTTTTGTGGATATCCAAAGTCAAGAATCTCTGTAATAGAAAAGATAATAGAAAATAAAGTTCTCTAAAACCTAAGCTTGTCTGTGTAGTGATTATGTGATGTTGTATGATTATGTGGTTAATTTGAGTTAGAATTTATACTGACCATCCAGTAGTTCATAGATAAGCACAAAATTATTCTTGATGTTTTCCTCTGAAATTTTGCCAAAGTAAGACTGCATGACATCTATAATCTTTAGTAGTAGTTCAAATACCATAGCCGCATTAACATTTTGCTTTGTGACAGCAGCTAACCAAATATTGGCTCGCTTAATATGAAAAAATGATGTTCTGGCAATATTGGTCACAGGTGAACGTACTTGCTGTCGTGCATGGATGACATTAACACGAAATGCATCCACTGCATTTCGGCCAATATCATCGCGATATACTCGGGAGATGAGTACCTCTCCCTTGTGGTTATACACAAATAAACCCCCTATCATCTTGACAGAGGGTATTTTCTTTTATTATTTCTTTAAGAGAAAATTAATCTGCAAAACAGACACAAAGTATATATGAATACCAAATTGTATAAAAATTTATATCCTTGATAATTTTTAAATTTCATTGTAAAACTAGCAATACAATAAAAATCAATTTTGATTGAAAATTAATTTGATTCAGAAAGAACATGATCTGCTTTTTGTTCAGAAAAGAGATAAAATTGATTGGAACAATATGGAACAAGCACTTTGCGAGAACACACAAGTCCATCAATTGTTGCGCGAATGATATAAATACGTCTGTAAATGACAGAAATAACATTCGTTCTTTAAATGACATTTAGAATCGTCCGTTTGTCCGGCATATCTCGCGAACGGATGGCGTTATCGATCGGACGTGGCCTCTACATGAATGCGTTAAAGTGAACGCGTACGGAAAAAGAAAATCAGTGCGAGACGCCGTTATCAAGAGAAGCAAAGTCGGTTTCACTTACACATGACTTTTAAAAAGAGTTGTAGAAGACACTCTGTGCGCGTACCCACCCACTTCGACGTTGCACGATATCCTTACCTCAACGAGTACAAACGCAAGTTGACGGATAAGTGACGAAAGCAACACCCACTGTTTCCAGTAGTTCCAAAGGTTTGTTCGCGTCACATGCCCCAACATGCTCCTTCTCGCCCCAACGCGCTCTAACAGCGAATTCGGTAGCCTGCACTAGTGCGCACTGAGTGCGACTTTTTTTTATTGAAAAAGTTTATTAAAAACATTTTGAAGTTTCATTAAAGTTTCATTGAAAAAAAGCGCGTTAGAACGAATAAGAGCGTGTTGGGGCATGCAACGCGAACAAACCTCCCAGACTTCCCAGATGTGTTCCTGCTTGCGCGGCAATGTGTGGTCCAATTGTAGACGCGGTCAAAGGATGCGTTCCGTTTCTTGCACATGCGCGCATTTATCTATAGTTTATGTTACATATACTATAAATCATGTGCGCATATGCATGAAACGGAACGTTATGTTCAAAGTCTAACTGCAAATGTTACGAAGCAGGCTTCTCTCTGGCTTTTTGTATGATCGTGTAAACTTTTATATAAGTCAAATATGATTTTATATAAGTTAGATATGATTTTATGTGATTGTGTAAAATCAGATCCGAAATTTGGCGCGATCTGATTTTATATATGATCATATATAAATATAAGAAATCATATACTAATGTACATAATTTTATGTATTTATATATGATTACATAAAATCGGATCGCGCCAAATTTCGGATCTGATTTTACACAATCACATAAAATCATATCCAACTTATATAAAATCAGATTCGGGTTATATAAAAGTTTATATGATCATACAAAATTATATCCGATCTACATATAATCCTTTATGATCACATGATTTTCCATTTTTTCTCGAGCATACATAATATATCTACATATGTATATATATGTATATATATATTATATGCATATATACATATACATATGTACATGTATATGCATATATGTACATATATGTATTCACAGATATATACCCAGATAACCAAGCTGAGTGATCATATTTTGCAAAGTTTGCAATAATACATTATGCCAGTACAATGTAGCCAGCATTCAAACATAATCTGTTATTTCAACTAGTGTCGACAAAAAAACAGAAAAAAAAAGAATATAAATATGTCATGCCGTGATGCAAATAGTATTGCATCAATCAAGCAGAACTTGCTCAAAAAATGTAGCAGATTTGAAGCATAACGTGCTATTGTCATTTCATTCTTCATTTATTTCTATATTTTTGCTGTGTTGTTTTCTTTACATATCGTGCCTACATAATTCACTCACTATGATGACACAGCTGAGTGGAATCTGCTGCAAAGTGCTGATTAAACCTGCGTGCATACTGCTGGCATACTGCTATCATTTGGCTATCGGGGTATATGTTATTTTTGAATCTGAAAGCATTTTTCATCATTTTTCTAGACCAACCAATTAATTTTTGCAAGTTTGTTGTACTTTTCTTCAGTGCGTTAACATTTTTATTCTTAAGTCTCTGAAATTTTGCTCTATTTTCACTGCAATTTTAAATAATTGACTAAGTTTTATTATACTTTCACTGTTTTTAACATAAAATCACGTTAATATTTACTAAACATTTTTTTATGTTAAACTTACATTAATAATTTGGTTTTATTATTACGACTAGACTATAGCACAGAGCACTTTAGGATTATCTCAAGACGTGCACTTTATTTTGGCATTAGTTTGTTGTTTTAGCTAATATGAATTTCTATTATATGGTAAATGATATTAGTGAAGACAACGGATAAAATAACTAGTTTATTAATTTTTATATATATAACTCTCTTTTCATGATCACTACTGGATATTTTGCTTTATATTTCTACGATAATAATACATGAGATGTGTAGTACATCTAAATAAATGATATTTTGCTTTACATTTCTACGATAATAGTACATGATATGTGTAGTACATCTACATAAACAATACTAATAAAATTTTATATATTCGAATGCATTGGTATATATAAAGCTAAATGATGTTTTACTTTACTGTGTAGTTACTTTTTATACTTGCCGGTCTAGACACATTGTTTGAGCCATTTTATTACAAATAGTACGAACAAAAAATTACAGATCCTGCGAGTAGAACCATATTTATAAAACATATATTATTTCTCGTGAACATTCTACTATTAGATACAATAACTAAATCATGATCAATGAAAATAAAAATGAATTGTGTGCCGATATCAATCCTGAAGAAATTGTTATTTCTGGCATTTCTGGTATCTTCCCAGGTGCGAACAATATGAAACAGTTACAAGAATATCTGTTTAACAAAGTTGATCTTGTTACAGACAAACATAACCGATGGAAATTAGGTAAGTAAATTGATAACTAGATGATTACATTTATTCTTTAATAATCCATTAAGCACAGAACGATTGCAGACATAATGCAGATTAATTACGCTGAAACATTATAATATTGGAAATCAGTTGCAAACCTTTGTTGCAACATTGCTGTAGGATTGCGGCAATGTTAAAATGTCATTATAAATGTAGGACAAACTTATATTATTATATTTTTATAGTATACACATATAACTTTATGAAATATATGTATAATTTATTACGCATATATGTATATAATCGGTCTCTCGGCTGTTTCTATTTTCATCTAACAGAATGTATATCACTCGGCTGATCAATTGCGAGGTGATGTTAATTTCCGAATATCATCGATATGCCTTTATATTAGCAAATCACGAGAACGTCATTAAATAAAACAACTACAATATATTTAAAACCAAAAAACTAAATACCAACACTAAACTTTTTGTCATAGTTGAGTAAAAGAATCTTAATTTTTTTTCTGTTTTCACAAAATCCGCGCCGTAGTGTTCGACTTGTATGAAAACACGTATGTAATATCAAATTCGAAATGACCGAGAGTAAATTATACATATATTTCATAAAGTTATACATATATTATATATTATCATATTGTTATATTATTTTAATTACGTATTATACAATATTATCATTATTATATAGCGTAGTAAAAATAATAAAAAATTATAGAGTTATAGAAGTATATTTTGTAATGTTTCTGAAATAATTAATGTCATATTATTAATATCTTTCAGATATTTTGTTAAGTTATATTTCTTCTAATGTTTCATTACACCTAATGTTAGGTGTAATGTTACATTACATTTTAATATTGCAACATTGCCGTAATGATTGTAATATGTTTTGTGCTGTATTAGAATATGTATAAATTATTGCTACGATATTGTCATCATTTGTTTTAGAACATTCGGATTTACCAAAACGTATGGGAATAATCAATAATTTAAATAAATTCGATGCGGACTATTTCAATATGTGTGATATTCAAGCCAATACACTTGATCCAGTATTGAGAAGATTATTGGAGCATACTTACGAAGCAATTGTCGACGCGGGGATCAATCCAATGCAATTACGAGGAAGAAATATTGCTACGATCGTGGGACAATCTTTCTTTGATACGCAAGAGATACTTATGTATCGAGACTTGCAGGTAGAAAATATTTACAATGATTGATTAATAGTTAATTTATTATATTAACAAATATTAATAAATGTGTATTAACAGTTAACACACATTTATTATTAATTTAGACTCTATCTTACAGCTATACTGTGAACTATCTTACAATAATATATTTTATAATTAGATCAATGGTGTAAATCTTACTGGCTCTTGTAGAGCTTCAATGGCAAATTTAATTTCCTATTGGCTGGATTTGAAAGGACCATCTTATGTAGTCGATTCAGCCTGTAGTTCTACTCTTTATGCTATAGCAATTGCTCGTTACTACATCACATCTGGTAAATGCGAAGATGCTATTGTTGCCTCTGGAAATTTGTGTCTTCATCCGAAACTGACTATGCAATTTTTTTGTCTCGGTAGTGAAATTATTTATTTTTAAAATATGTAAACAAAAAAGGAACACAGATATAATTCCAAATATGCATTTTCTCATATGTAATATGTTTGATTTTAGGTGCTTTGTCACCAACAGGCTATTGCAAGCCGTTTGATGTAAACGCAAATGGTTATACCCGTAGTGATACTATATCGGTAATATATCTTCAAAAGGCAAAAAACGCGAAAAGAATTTACGCTTTATGCAAACACATTAAACTGAACAGCGATGGATTCAAAGAGGAAGGAATAACATTTCCATCGAAACATATGCAAACACATTTGTTAACCGAGTTTTATCAAGAGTGTGGAATATCGCCAACTAATGTGGAATACGTCGAAGCGCACGGTACTGGCACAAAAGTTGGTGATCCATCGGAAGTCAATGCTATCTGCAATGTTTTCTGCAAGGACAGAAAAACTCCGTTGTTAATTGGATCTGTAAAATCTAATCTTGGTCACGCTGAATCAGCGAGCGGTATAAATCAGATTGCTAAGGTAAAGTAACACAAATTTTTACATCTATAACATAATATAAGAAAAGACTTTGTAATAAAAGTAGAAAAAAACAAAATAAGAAATTAATTTAAATCACATTAATAAACAAATTAATTTTCGAAAGTTTGAGACTTATATCGTACACTTTTGAAGGCTATAATCGCAATGGAAACTGGTTTTATTCCGCCGATGATCAACTTTACGTCACCACGAGAAGACATAGAATCTCTCAGAAATGGAACTGTACGTGTTGCCACGGAACCAACGCGTCTGACAAACGGTTACATAGGCATAAACTCGTTCGGATTTGGAGGATCTAACGGACACTTATTATTGAAGTGGAACCCTAAAAAAAAGATCAATAACGGTGCGCCAAATGATGACTTGCCAAGACTTGTTACTGTATCTGGACGCACTGAAGAATCAGTGCAGTCTTTTTTAAAGGATGTAAGTACACGCAAAGAATTAACATGTGTGTTTAATCAAGCAGAAATTATGCGTACATATTTTACTTTTGTATTAAAATCTGCGAAATATTTGTTTAAATAATTATTTGTAGGTCGCAAATCATCCATTAGATGTGGAATATATTCGTTTACTGCATGACATTCATGCTTGTAATATAGAGGGTCATTCATGGAGAGGATATATTATACTGGAAAAGACGCAACAGCGTTTGATAAAAGAAATTCAGGTTTATAAAAACAACAAAACACCTGTTTGGTTTATATTTTCTGGAGTGGGCTCACAATGGTTTGGAATAGGTACTTATATACAATAATTTTACTTAATTGTTATAATTAAAAATTTTGATGTTTTAAACTGTAATATGCAGGTCAACATTTACTCAAATTTCCTGTTTTCGCACGTAGTATAAAAATGTGCGATAATGTTTTAAAACAATATAACGTAAACGTAACTGCTATTATAACGATGATAGACGAAAGAATGAACAAAAGTCCTGTCAATACATTGCTTTGTATCGTTGCAATTCAGGTAAATTACGATATTGATGTATAAACTGTACATGTTTAACGTAACTTTTTTATATTTTACAAGATATAAAATATAGTATAAATATATAATATATATATACATACACACACACACACACACACACACAAGATATAAATAATATAAAAATATACTAATATACAACATGTTAATATAATATAAATATAAAAAATGTACATTATAAATATAAAAAATTATGCAGATTGGATTAGTAGATCTTTTAACGTCTTTGGGAATTATTCCGGATAACATGATCGGATATTCTGTTGGAGAACTTGGATGTGCATATGCAGATAAGTGTCTCACTATTGAACAAACTATTTTATCAGCGTACTTGATTGCTTTGGCGTGTGTCGAAAGCACAGTGCCTTGTGGATCTATGGCCACTGTCAATCTTGATTACGAAACTCTCAAAACTATATGTCCAGCAGATATTAAAATTGCATGCCGCAATAGTCCGAAAAGCAATGTTATAAGTGGACCCGCGGAATGTGTGCGTGTGTTTATGAAAACGTTACAGGTAAGTAATTGAGTAATTCAGTAATTATAGCGATTGTTAAAATGAGATTTACTGAAATTTTAGTATTGTTTAGTTTATATCGTTAATCGTTATTTAATTTCGTCTATGTTTTAGGCTCGTGGCACAAATGTGCAAAAAATTTCCTGCAACAATATACCTTACCATAGTCATTATCTTGCGTCTATTAAAGATGAACTTTTAAGAAGCTTAAGTCTACTAATATCACAACCTAAGAAAAGAAGCTCAAGATGGATCAGCACATCTGTATCTTCTACTGAGTGGTCTATTTCACAAATGTGTTCCGCTGACTATCTCACAAATAGTATACTGACTACTGTTCTTTTTGAACAAACAATACGTATGATCCCAAATAATGCTGTCACTATAGAAATTGCACCAACTAGTGTTTTGCAGCATATCCTGAAAGAATCTTTGCATCCACAAGTAACTAACATCATGCTTACTCAGTGCACGAACGAAAATCCAGTCGCTTTAATGTTTCAAGGAATTGGAAAACTTTATAACTGCGGCTTGCAACCACAAATTGCCGCTTTATATCCGCCCGTAGAATTTCCAGTTAGCCGTGGAACTCCCATGATTTCTCCATCTATTAAGTATGAACATCCATTTAAAAATTTTTAAAGTCTCTGATAAAAATTATCTGATTGAAATTTTACTGAAATGATAGAAGATAAAAATAGATCACAATTGATAAAGATTTTAATATGTAATTCAGTAATATTTTACTACTTTTCAAAATACAATTCTTTATATGGATAAATTTGATATATTTAATTATGTATAACAATATGTGATTACATATATATTACTTACATATATTTAAATATAGACTGCGGTTCCGATATTCACTGCTAGTTTATTAAAAATCTGTATTTTACATCAAATGTGTTATAGATTTCCAGTACTGGGAGTGAATATTAGAACGCAGCCGGATGATGAATTTATTCATATATGAAGAATTTTTTTTATATTTCTATTAAAGATTTTAATTTTCTGTTATTTACAAAAGAAATTTGTTTATTATAAAAAGAGTATATTCATGTAAACACACAAGGGTGTTATTCTAGATGGGATCACTCGAAAAACTGGATTGTAGCGCATGAGATACCAAAATATGATAACATCAGAGAGAGACTCGTCAAAGTACAGCTTAGCGATGAAGACTACGAATACATGACAGGTCACGTAATAGATGGGAGAACCTTGTTGCCAGCGATGGGTTATGTTGTGCTTGTTTGGGAAACTATCGGAAAAATCAAAGGAGAATTATATTTATCACTACCAATAATATTTCGAGACTTAAGATTCGTTCGCGCTACTCATTTATCGAAAAATGATAGTGTGGAATTGACAATCAGGATACACGAAGGTATTCTCTCACTTTTTTTCATAAAAAATTTCTTGAAATGAGATAAGTGTAACAAAAGATTAAATAACAAAAAAAAATTGATTTAAACAATAATATTTTAATATTAAAAAAATAATTACATAATTGAGATGTTTAAAACCTATTATAGGAAGCGGTAAGTTCGAAGTATGTGAAGAAGACACTGTCGTTGTGACGGGTGAGGTGTCCACTGAGATAGATCCTAAACAGAAAATCGCATCGTTTGATTTATCACCGGATAAGGAGGAAGAACACATGAACACTCTGGATATTTACAAAGAACTGAAATTACGCGGATATCAATACAGTGGTGTTTTTCGTGGATTAATTAGCGCATCAATAACAGGTGACAAAGGACACGTCGTTTGGACGAGTAATTGGGTCACATTTATGGACACGTTGCTGCAGTTGAATATATTTGGAAAAAATAGCAAAGGTTTATACGTTCCTACAAACATTCAAAAACTAGTAATTAATCCGATCCTTCATAACGTAACGTTACAAAACTACGCAAAAATAAACACGACGCAAAATAGTAAACGTAAGTCTTTCTTTCTTTCTTTTTCTCTTTTTTATTGAACAAAAGGAGAGGAATAGTTTATTTTGTGCGCTATTATTATTAGAAAAGAAATTCGAAGATACAAATTTTATATCAGTTGTGAAAATCGTGTAAGAAACATTTTTATTCAAAATACAATTTCTCTTTTAAGAATTGCCAGTACGAGTATACAAAAACATGGATCTCATAATATCCGGTGGCGTAGAAATTTGGGGAGTGAAAACTACGTTGATCGCTCGCCGGAAAATAAACGCGGATCCCGTTATTGAGGAGTACAGATTTACGGCCCATCAAGATCGCGAAAAAATTTCCTTGCACGACGCAATACGGATATCAACACAAATCGCACTGGAGGATCATCAGATTACAAAAATGAAGATCATCGAAGTGGTGGAAGATACAGATATCGTAAGCACAGAAGATCTAACAACTTTGGCGATACTTGAAGTTTGCAATAATTTGCTGTTGGTACAAGCATCTATTACTCTAATTACATCGCCGTTTCGGTTTAAGTCGTCATACTTGCCATCGAACGTAACATTCGCGGATTTAAGAACACACGTGGACAATAAAGTGTTAATGATTATAGGGTTTAATTTATTGTCAAAACGGAGCTTATTAGAACGAATTTTACTCTTCCTCGAAGAAGGTGGTTTCTTGTTATCGCGTGAGACATACGACGTAACAGAACCAACGGAATCGCATCGCGATTATTCCGCATTAATCGGCAACGATAATTTAGAACAATATGGATTGAATGTTATTCTTGAAAAGCGTACCAAAAAGGAAATGATTGTGCTTCTGAAAAAACAAGTTACGATCAAAGAAACAACTATTGTTCACATTACCAATAATAACTTTGAATGGTTGGAAAAATGGAAGCTACTTGTAGACAAGAAGAAAACATTCGATCGAAACAACAGAATTGTAATTGTTAGCGAAGGCGATTTTGAATGCGGTTTATTGGGCTTTGTTAATTGCTTGAGAAAAGAACCCGGTGGCGAATTTGTTAGAAGTGTGTTTGTTCAAGACGAGACTGCTCCGAAATTTTCTTTGCAAGATCCTTTCTACGCGCAACAATTGCGGAAAGATATGACGGTCAATGTTTTGGGATCTAAAAAAACTTGGGGTTCGTACCGGCATTTCTGTTTGCCAGCCCCGGAACCTGCACTTGTTCCCGCTGCTTACGTGTGTCAAACGGTATGCAAAACATTCGCAAATCTTTCATTTAATTATAATTTCGCGACACTTTTACGTACATTTGTTGTTTAAATTTCTTTTTTCTTTGTACATATCTTTCGATATATATATATGTACTACTTTTAATGATTTAATATTTCTTTGTATAGGTTCTTGGTGACCTAAGTTCATTTTGTTGGATGGAGAATGATATATTCATTAATTCTCATTGTGAGGACTTGATACGTGTGACTTACTCATCCCTAAATTTTAAAGATGTAATGCTAGCTACAGGAAAATTAACTTCTGAAAGCAGTGAAGAGCGATTTGAGAGCGTGAATCTTGGATTGGAGTATGTAGGATTCGATGCCGAAGGACGACGAGTAATGGGAATGAGAGACAATAAGTACATATAATTTAAGAGAGACGTTCATCTCTGCTTATGAAAAAAAATATGATCTATGATTATTTTTATAAAGATACACACGTGACGTAAACTTTCTACTTGCAGATGCATCGCAAATATCGTTTTAAAAAGTGATTTCCAATGGATCATACCCGATACTTGGACGTTCGAAGAGGCGGCTACGATTCCTTGCGTATACAGCACATCGTATTACGCTTTATATATCAAAGGGAAAATAAAAAAGGGCGATAAGATACTTATACATTGTGGTTCCGGTGGTGTTGGACAGTCAGCTATTAATCTCGCTTTGCATGAAAAATGCGAAGTGTTTACCACAGTAGGCACCGCCGAAAAGCGACGATTTATCCGAGAAACGTTCCCGACTATTCCTGACGATCACATCGGGAATTCGCACAACATCAGTTTCGAGCAGATGGTTATGCGCCAAACAAACGGCCGCGGTGTTGATATAGTGCTGAATTCATTGGCGGAGGAAAAACTCCTCGCGTCTGTTCGCTGTTTAGCGCAAAACGGTCGTTTCTTGGAAATCGGAAGATACGATCTCGTATCGAACAATCCTTTAGATGTGTCATTATTTAGAAAAGGAATCTCTTTTTACGGTATTTTTCTGGATTCAATGTTTGGAAAAGAACACAAGCACAAGGCCCAATTAGTGAAATTAATGAATGATGGTCTCAAGAATGGTGTTATCAAACCCATAGAAGCTAAGGTTTTTCAACGAACAGAAATCGAACAGGCTTTTAGGTACATGGCGAGTGGAAAGCACAAAGGAAAGGTATGCAAATGCAACGACAAATTGTAAATTATATTGAATATTTATTCTTTAATATACGAATATTTGTAGATAATTTTGAATATTCAAGAGGCAGACAAATGTCGTATAAACGCGCCGATCGTCGCGCATCGTCGTTACTACTGTTATAGCGATAGAATTTACATCATACTTGGTGGTCTAGGTGGTTTTGGATTGGAATTGACCGAGTGGCTAATATCTCGAGGCGCAAGAAATTTTGTGTTGACTTCGAGAAGCGGAATCAAACATAGCTATCAACGCATGAAAGTGTCGTTATGGAGATCATATGGAGTTAACGTGACAATCATTAAAGATAATATTACCACCAATCCTATAGATTGCGAACATTTTCTGCGATGTACGGAAAAAAAAACACCTGTTGATGCTATATTTAATCTCGCTGCTATTTTAAAAGATAATATTCTGGAGAATCAAACTACGGAAAGTTTTGTGGAATCTTTTAAAGCTAAAGTCTGGCCGACACAAACGTTGGATAAACTGTCCAGAAAGATCTGTTCCAAACTCCGGCATTTCGTTGTGTTCTCCTCGGTTTCCTGTGGTAGAGGAATCAGCGGCCAAACTAATTACGGTATGGCCAATTCTGTGATGGAAAGGATATGCGAAAGAAGGGTAAAAGATGGATTTCCTGGTTTAGCGATACAGTGGGGATCTATTGCTGACGTGGGTCTCATCGCTAACATGCAGAATAACAGCGACAAAGAACTCGTTATTAGTGGCATGCTGCAACAAAAAATATCTTCTTGCCTCAATGAACTCGACAAATTTTTACTTCAGAATCGACCGATCGTAGGCAGCGTGGTGATAGCTGAAAAGAAACAAGAAGTACCCGAATTCTTTAATGTATTTCGAGCCGTCGCTGCTATTATGAGTAAGAATTCACATATACTTTTTTATTGTGCTAATATGTATAAACATATTCTCTACAATTTTTGAACATTTTTTCATTTTGTGTGATAAGATATAGAAAACATAAACAAAATAAGACCGACTACATCTCTGGCCGAGCTTGGGATGGACTCTATATTGGCGGTAGAGATCAGACAAACTCTGGAACGTCACTTCGATGTGTACCTTTCTTTACAAGAAATACGAAATCTCACTTTTGCAAAACTCTTGGAGATGTCTGACACACGGACCGTCGCTGATGGAACCTCCCGGTAAAAAATTTTTCATGTATACTTATACACAAATTAAAATTATTATATCTAATTATGCAAATTTATATGTGCCGAATATGTCCATACAATTTTATACATGGAAAATTTTTTACCGGGCTGATGCCACCAAAAATGCACTCAATAAGAACCAGCAATAAAACAGCTGACTCATGTTTGGTATTGTGCAAAACAAAGATTTTATATTTGAAATCTTCTCGACTAAAAACTAAAAAAATGCTACTCAAGTCCGTCATTGAGTTAGAATTTAGAAACATTTCGTATATAGATATACTCCCGAGAAAAAATAGAAACATATAATCATATAAGATTATACATAAGTGATCAGATCGCGCAAAATTTTGGATCTAATTTTATATGATCATATACAATTTTCTATATTTATATATGATCATATAAAATCAGATTGCGACAAATTTCGAATTTGATTTTACACAATCACATGAAATCACATCCGACGTATATAAAATCTTATGTGATTATATAAAATTATAACCGACCCGTATAGTCTTAAAGATGCAGAGTAAACAAAGCGCTCTCAAAATCATTTGTTACAAATATAGTTTGTGAATTGCACGAAAGAACAGCATTTTAAGACAAAGAACTATGTTCAACTGAAAATCGTTGCCAATCGGTTGTTAATGTTCATGATAATGTGAATCGACGTGCATACAGTTCTCCTTTTATTCTGTCATAACATATTATTGTAATTCAATTATGTATTCTAACATCAAATCAATAAATTGCTTATTGCAGCGCTGCAGATCGACCGTCAAATAAAGCTATAAATTGCCTAAAATAATTTATCAAATAAAAACGATATCAGTTTTACTTTTCGTCAAAAGACTAGATAATAAATATATAAATTTATACAACTCGTTTTTCGTGATAAAGAATCGAAAAAATATAAAGATTTACTTACGCTATAATGTCATTGTTCTCAGATTATTATAAAAACTTTTTTGTAAAAAATGTAAATACAAGTTTTTTTCACTGCAGCATTTTTGTTTTATTTTTAAAATAAATTTTCAAGATAAATCTTTTTTCAAGATAATCTCTCTTGAAATATACTGGTTGATTTTACAGTACGCCAAAATAAAGAGTCTGTGTTTTGTCTCGAATATATTTTATTATACATACATTAATGAAAATATATACATGGTAGACTGCAGCTTCTCGAAGCAGCGAAGTGACAATATAATTAGCTACAGTATTCGTACGCGAATCTGTTCCTTTTTTTTTTTTTTTCGACGACGTCCTCTCGATAGCCGAGGTTGTCGAGGTTGTCGGGAGGCACGTGTAGGCCGACACGTGTAGACCATAAAATGTCAAGATGTACGTGACATGTTTTTTTTTTTTTGGAGTTTCCGTTATTTCTCTTAAAACGGCTGATTGTGTATGTGTATGTATTATGTGATAACGGTCGATCCGCCCGATCTGATCCGTTCCGACTCGGCGAATCGTCCTCGCTTTTATCGCAATTATTACGAGACTGACAACGTCAATTTGTCGACACACGCAGTGGATACCAGAAATACTTTCGCTGACTTCGATTAATTATTTGAAACTTTTATCTTTTTTTTTTTTTGTTTTCTCTTTCACACTCTCATATCCTCACTCTCTGTTTTTCACTCACATTTCTTCTTTCTCTCGCGCTCTCGCTCTCGCTCTCTCTCTCTCTCTCTCTTTCTCTCTCTCGCTTTCTCTCTCTCTCTCTCTCTCTCTCATTCTCTCCCTTTCTCTCTCTCTTTCTCTCTCTTTTCCTATCACAGCCTTCCTATTCAAACCTATATGCAGCCTTCTTCTTGCACAGCCAGACACTTGCTCGATCACTCGGCATCAACGCTTCGATCTCTTATCATTTTTAATTACCGTTACGACACGATTCAACGGTGACAATTGCGGATTATTACGATTGATTAAATTGTAAGTGGCGATCATCGAAAAGTGAGATGATGATACTCTTTATCGCTTCTCTTGTTATATTCAGAGATGTTCTGATGAAATTCTGATAATCGTCAGAGCACACGAATCAAACAGAATTTTCACACAGACTCTTGCGTCGCGCGATTATCAGACTGCGCTTTTCGTTAGACGCCAACGTAAATGTAATAATTACAATAATAAATTCTCTGATTGATGACGATTTTGACGACCAATACGATAGACGTTCTTGCGAATTTCTTCCAGCGAGTATCCATACGGCACACATACGTACTGGGCGCGTTCCGCAAGGCGCGTATTATCCCGCGCGCATGATATTGCATGATGTTATCGCGGCATTGTGCGCGCGCGTACCGGAAACTATTCTACTATGTGTTATAAAGATATTGTGTGTTTCGAAAAATAAAACTACTTAAATTGCCTTCGAGTCTGCAAAATGCAGCACGAAAGCGCGTAACACGCCGTGCGGAACACACGCTCTGCGGTCTGCTGCCTCACCAACGCTCTAATGCCGAGTTAAACTTTGGTTCAGCCAAACAACATTCTATACGAGCGTTACAATCTGTTCGCGCTCGCATCTCGCGGCGAACGAACGGTGTACGCCGATCAACAACAAATTTTCAGATACACAGATTAGTTTTGTAACGTTTCAGGCACTGCGATTGACTTTGTATTTTGAGTTCAGACTCGAACATCGAACGGCAGCCAGGCGCAGTCAATCGATCGCGAAATTAACTCTTTCGTTTTCATCATTTCGAATTATACTGAGTAATTCTCATTCGTTAAATGTCACAAAACAAATTTTAGGCGACACGAGAGAGTTTTTCGCTTTTTTATTTTCTCCGTTCATAAGAGAAAAAACACGTAATCAAGTTATTCCAAGCGATAATTTTTCTTTTTTTTTTTTTTTCCCGATCGAAGAAGCTAGGAAGGAAAACGCAAACACTCGTTCCGAGATCCGTGCGAAAAGTTTGAAAAGCTTTTTGCACGATTAGCGGACAGCGTGTGTCTATTGGTGTGTGTCCTGCATCATCGCGGTTACGTCATGCGCGTAATCGTACATCGCTTATTATTAATTTAACCTGATTTCGAACGACACGTTTACAATGATCACGTTACTCCACTAGGGATGACACATGCAGCGTATAAAACATATCTTATCTATATATTTATTTACTGTTATATATATATATATATATATATTTATATATATATCTAGGTTGTCGCATCCGTTATTTCTGTTACACGCTATATACTTCAATATATATACGCGGTACGTTTCTTACACGCTACCAAAAGGATTAACAATCTTCGGTACTTCGTGTTTTTTTTCTCCTCTTTTTTTCTTTTTTTGTTGAATGCAACGACACGCCGTGCCATTGTGCCAGCCGGGTTCACACATTCGCGATACACGAATCAAAGACAGAGGAAGGAAAACGAGGCGCGCGTCTCGACGGATATTGCACTTCAAAAACTGGACCGCTTGAATTTTCCGCGTTTTTGTTTTTTTGGTTCTTCGACCGGCCATTTAAACGCGTCCAAAAATGTATCTTCAGCTTCTTCGATAAAAATCTGGCAAGAGTACGCTTCTAAAAATATAACCAATGTGTGTGTAAAGAGAGAGTGTCCTTTATATTCAAAATAAACTTTATCGATTCGGAACCAACCCAAATCCGTTTCGTCATCAAGAATTTTGCGAGTTGAACCGCAAGAGTTAAACCGCATTACGTAGAATTTTTCTTTGTGCTACAATTACTCGGAAAATCGCAATCCACATGTAAAAGGGGTTTCGTTTCGTTTCTCCCGCGGTCATGTTCTCCGGAAATCGAAACTCGATATTCCGCGTCTCGTAATAAAAAATCTGTTCGTCGTCTCTTTACAACGCCTGATGCGAAGATCCCGCACAAAAATCGATTTGCTTCATCGAACAACAATACCGTGATACCGATCCGATTGAAAGATTGCTTATAATCGGACTTTACAAGCACTGGGCCAAAGATCATACGTTTTTTGTTTGTTTTTTTTTGTCTGTGTGTTTGTTTTTCTCACCATCGGGCACATCGTCACTGCAGCCACGAGAGTGTATCCGTGAAAAGTTAGGTGTTGGCGAAGATATAGCGCGCAACGGGATTTCGCCATTTTGCCGCTCTTCACGATATACGTCCAGTGGCCTCATGATACTGCCGCCATTCCGTTTTTAAACCTAAGCTTAAAAAGTAAAAACGCCAGCGCTGTCTGTCGCCGGCACGAAGTTAATCGATTTTAACACATTAACGCTTTGATTCGTTTGTCAGTCTGTGCTCTCCTAGTCCATGACAAGTTACAAAAAAAAAAAAAAAAAAAAAAAAAAATTAATAAAACAAAAAAGAAATGAAAGAATAGATGTTCAAGCTGTCGAGGAGAAGTGATTTACGTTTACACGGGACTCGAAGATAATCGATTCGCGAGCGATTCGCGTCTGCTCGCAAATCAAAAGTAAAATGCATTTCTCGTGGGCCGTATCGCTAAGCTGCGACGGTAGCGATAGAGTCGTCACGAGTCTTGAAAGACGTTACTCGAAAGGAGCATTTCTCTCTGTCTCTCTCTCTGTCTCGAGTGTCCACAAACACAATATGTCGAAATTTCTCATTGTTAAAGTTGAATTGTGCGCCCTTAATGCGAAAAACTCCGCGACAAGGATTTTCTTACGCATTTTTCTTCCTTTTTTTTGTTTTTTTTTCTTTTTACGAAAGGAAAGAAATTCGTAGGTGTCGCTCGGTAATCTTCGTACGCGCGATCCGTTAATACTTTTTAAACAGACACCGAGAAGAAATTACACTTTTATACCGAACATATTCGGTGCGCATATGACTACGTTATACGATAAACGATAGTAATACTCTAAATATCATTACGACGAGATTCGATTCGTGGTCGCTATATCGTTTGTGTATGTTTTTTTTTGTTTTTTGTTTTTTTTCTCATTTATCAATAACATTATAGGCAGTGTTCGTTGAGAAACTGCTACGATTTACACATCGAGATGTGTGCAAAAATTCAATTTCTGAATACAATTGCACGTATTAAACGCCCTCAATTACCCCTACAAGAACTATCGTCCTCGCTCCTTTCCCCTCCCTTACTCCCCACTCGTAGTATACGCGCGCGGAGTGTTCATTAAGATATTTTTATAAGATTTACATTTACATGTATCTTAAAATAAGTATCTTGCGTTTATCGAGCAACGTAAATCGATAAACTCGCTCGCGTAGCGCTAGGAAATTACGCGTCTGGACGCTAATCAAAATAAGCGACGCCCCACTTTTAAATACGTCGCTCAGTAAATGATGCTGGGATTAGCTCAGAAAGCGCGCATCGGTTTCTCTCTCGCCGATGGACGAAACGTCACGTTAAAAAATATGAGGATCATAAAAACAATAATATCGCTAACCTGAGAATTTCTTTCCTTTTCAACTCTCTTTCCGTACGTAATATAACCGAGATAATAGCGATGCACACATACTATCGAGATAATAACGAAGTACAAATAGAAATAATAATAATAATAAGTGTAGTAGTGTAACATCGGTAGTAATAGTAATAGTAGTAGTAATAGTAGCAACAGCAGCAGCAGCAGCGGTCATAGTGGATAATTGCAGTAGTAGCATCAGTGGCTGTGTTGATGATGGTGGTGACGTACTTTGCACTCGTTGCATGTGGAGCTCGAATCGAATTTTCAACGATTTGCAATTGACAACGAGTCCGGTTTCTCACTTCATCAATGCGTGATAGGCAACCGGAGCGCTCCTCCGGTAAACCACGAGAGAGAGGTCCCACAATCGCCGTAGAGCCAGCGATCACCGATAAGTGTCCACTGTGAACCCGTGGGTGTGTATATCGGACGATTTTTACTTCGGAGTTAGGAGTTGAAGGCAAAATCACAGAATGACGCAGCACCGACAGTATCGTTGTCGCGAGGCTCCCGCGCTGGGCGGCGGAGTCGGCGGTGCGAAATACGCGTGCACCTTTAAATTTGGTAGATGAGCCTAAAACATAGTAATAATTAATATTAATATCCGTAAAAAAAAATCGTAAAACAATCCGTAAGAAAAATTCATCTTAAAATTGACGACTTTTCTTCGATCGATAATAACGAAACGTGTAAAGAGTAAAACGAGATAAAAGCGACTCTTAATGTTGTTACGATTATTTATCTATACTACAATGTTATTATTCACAGATCGCGGTCTTTCGAAACATGATTCACCGCTAGGCGGAAAAAGTAGTATTTAATTATATTCCTTAGCGAGACAAAACACCGTGATTATGCGAGATTATACTTTTCGCAAACAACACAATTCATAATTCATGAATGCGATTGCGTGATACGCAAATGGTCAGCGCTAAAGTATGTACAACGCTACATGGAAAATGCGACCGTATTACTTTTTCCGCATAACACAATTGCGGATATATGAAAAAAAAACAAACAGGACAATACTCTGAGTTTACGTATGCCCTCTCTGGAAATGTGTAGGCAGTCGTAAAGTTCGATACGCTGAAGATTGTGGCAGGCCTGCATCAGATGGCTCAACCCGTGGTCCGTGATGTTCGGGCAGTTGTCAAGCTCCAAGACAGCCAGATGTTCCGCCGCGCACGGCGACAATGCGATTTGCCGGAGGCCTTCGTCGGTGATCTGCTCGCAGTGTGACAGACTCTGCGCTCGGAAATAAACAAATATGACTATCGTGTTTGCACGTTATCGTCACTCTTGATAAAAAAAAAAAAAAATATCACGTAGTTCAATACGACACGTACAAAACGCTTTACTCTTTTTCGCCTGCATATCTAACTGAGTATTCTAAATTATTAACTCAGCACTCACTAGTTCCTCTAATCTCGGACAGCCCATTGCCAGGTGAGTGAGGGTGGCGTCGGTGATTAAAAGGCACTCTTCCAGATCCATCTTCTCGAGCAGTTTGCAATTCTGAAAAAGTCGAAAGTCGTCATAAAGTCTCGCCGCTTGTTTGTTTTACGAACAAACGTTTCCACTCACTCTCGCGAGGGCCTGAAAGCCCGTATCCGTGAAATGGGTGCACGCGACGCATTCGAGTACACTGAGAAGTGGACAGTGTTGTGCCAGGCTAATCAACGTCGCGTCCGTTAAATTAGGGCAATTCGACAGGCACACATAATGCAGCCGTGTACATCGTTCACTAAGTTCTCTGACTCCGTCATCCGTTATATTCTGCAAAACGGAAATTCTTGAAATGGATTTACTTAGCACGACTTCTTAAAAGTCGCAAAACTAAACATCAATACATTAGATCTTTAATTAAAAATGATTTGGAATACAGAATTTAGAGAGATTTGATGCTGACGAAATACGAATAATCAGAATTTCTAACGTGTGTATTAAAAGATCATCGTAAATTTTTATGATTTACATTTTAATGTAACTCGTTTTCTATTGAGCGGTTTGCTTTATTTTTAACTTCTACGCAAATGTGTGTACTAATGATCTAACAAAAAATACAAAAAAAAAATTAAATTTAACGCAACACTTACTCGATTCGAAATAAAAAAAATATTTTATTTTTTTACGCAATTCGAATTTTATCTTTTTAGGAAACATAACAGAGCGATATCTCGTCAGTCACATAAATTTTGTCGTGCGACGACCGTAGCGTCTGAAGCAAGAAAGCGAGACGCAATCCTTGGCGTAATACGCGGATTTGCGGAGTCAATGAGATAAGTACCCTGCATTCGTGTAGATTGATCGCTTCGAGATTAGTACAGTAACGTGCTAAACACATTACGGCCTTGTTCGTCAGTTGGCGACATCCCCTGCTTAGGAAACTGCGCAGTTCCGGACAGCCCTTGGCGAGAGCATCCACCCCGTTGTCGGTGAGCAACTCGCACCACGAGAGATTGATGTGAGTGAGCAGCGGGCATCCGACCGCGAGATCCTTTAGGGACATGTCCGTTATCTCGGGACACGAGTCCAAATTCAGTCGCTGAAGCTTGGGACAATAGTTGCTGAGAGCAGCGCAGGTCGCGTCCGAGATCCTCTTGCACTCGCTCAGATTGAGCTCCTCGATATTGGGACAGGATTGGGCTAAAGTGCGCACCGAGGCGTTGCCGATACTTTGACATCCCTTGAGCGAGAGCTGTCTGAGAAATCCGCCGCAACGTCTTGAGATATTTTCGATTACTGGTCCCTACGCATTTACAAACGGCCCTCAGCGTTAATTCTGCGCGACACAAAAGCGTAGAAAATTCGCGTCGCGACCGATATTGCTCCTCTCTCTCTCTCTCTCTATTTACCTCCACATCTCGTTGAAAATCGAAGAGATCGATCCTTTGCCAATTGGACCCATCGAGCGCTAATACATTCCAGGCCTTGCTTACTTGGGCACAACGGCATAGTGATACGACATCGAGGTACGAAAAAATTCTGCCAATCAAAGAGATCGTTAGAACCGTGCGTGTATCGACGTTATGTATGAATATATATAGACGCGTTTTACGCGTCTCGCGATTACTTAACACCTTGCGAACGACGGAGTGTAGACCCAAGTTCTTCGCGAGAATTTAATGGGAGAACGTAATACGTTTTACATCTCTGTATTAGCACGCAAAAAAATGCTTCCTTTATAAACGGGAAAGTTTGAAAGATGAAGGTCGAGTGAGAAATAAGAATTTCAAATATCAAACTGTGATCTCCGTTGCCTCTAGAACAACATACAAGTTTTGGATATTTTTTACGGAAATTTCTTTACACTGTATTTGAAACTTCCGTCTAAAGTTAAATTAAAATTTTTTTTTTTTTTCACGTAAAAAGTGAAGCATAGATAAGTCAAGATAACATCTTGTTAAATCATCTAGTTTTACGAATCAAGCGTATAATGAGTGTCCTACATTTCTGTCTTCCTTGCTGTCGTTTGTAGCGCAATTGTCCGCTCCGATAAATTCTCACCATCTATACCGCGATACGAGAACTCGTTCTCAACGTGTTAAGTCGAAAGAAACGCGAATGTTGTCTCTGGCAACTTTATACCTGAGTAGCAATTCTTTTGGCAGTTTCTTGTTAATCTGCGCCTCGTCATCGTGAAACACCCATGTTAGCTGCAACGAAATACACGTGATTATATGACGTGAGTATGACGTGAGGGTCGCGCTGGTCGCGCTCGCGCTACCATTCGCGGAGCGACGAACATTCACAGATAGATGCTGACATTTTAGTCTCCGTTGTATATACGTGTGACAGCAAAAGGAAAACGGGGAAGGGAAAGAGAGAGAGAGAGAGAGAGATAAAAAAATTGGATAGAAAAAAATAGATAGATTGGTAGATAGAAAAGAGAAAAAGAAAGAGCGGACACAAGCTTGATAGCAGGACGTCGGAGAGGCGCGGGAAGAGCTGCTTTACAATAAAGCTCTCTAGCATTGGCACGAACAGAGTTCTCTAGATTAACTAACCTGCATGTAGGATTGCTTCATGGTAGTGACAGGGTTGTGAGAGTGCGATTGCGACGTGTAATAGCCGCCCTGATGATGATAATGTTGTTGATGATGTTGATGATGATAATGGTGATGATAGGATGGATGCTGCTGCTTCCACCATTGTCCACCGGTACCGCCGCCTCCTTTTTCCCACTCGTCGACCGACAGTACCGCATGGGCGGCTCCCACCGTTTCCACTCTTAATTGTCGAAGAGTTATTGTTTTTTTCTAAAAAATATATCCCAATGTGTGTCATACATCGTTCCCCGCGGACAGACAGAACCTCGCGAACGAATTAAGTCCATAATTCCGAAATAATGTCAAAAATTTCTTTAATCATCAACTATCTTGGAGCGGGTATGCTTTGAACACGATTTTGTATTATGGACTTTATTGTTTATATCGATCATTTTGAATTTCCACAACTTGCTTGTTACCAAAACATCAACTTCGAGACATTTCTTTTTTGTATCCAAGGATAAATGTATTGTGTACCCCCTCCCCCTTTTTTTTAATTTGGAAGAGCAATTTTAATTTTTATCAATAATATTATATATCTCTACAATTTATTTTTATATAATGCTAAATTGTGGAAACACCTACCCTCACGTTTTCGGTATACGCGTAAATTTTTGTCAAACACTATAATCGCCCATTACTAATTCATCGTCGATCCCGGTGTGAACAATAGCGTATGCAAAAGTCAGGATTCAAATGATTGCGTTATTCAGATTGAAAAGTGATACGACAGTTAATTTCCCCGATAGGAAAACATTTATGAAATTATATGACAAAATCTTGCATGAAAATTGTGATTTGCAATTATGTAGATATATTTTGAAAAATAGATGTGAAACTATTGATCTTTTATAAAATATTTGTAACTGTTTGCAAAATTAAATTAAAAAAGAAATTGTTCAATAATTGAGAAAAAAATTTCAGCTATGTGATGTTTAAAACATGAAGAAATTTAATTGCATATAAAAAAATCACATTAATTCATGAATATACTTATAGAAATGCATAACGACTCTTTTCTAATTTTTGACAAATATTATTTACAAAATTTTATTTTGACAAAACTGTTGCGTTATGGCAAATCATCTTAGTGCAATCATTGCAAAATCGTCGTCATTTATGATGCCATTTTTGTGCAATATTTTCACAATTTGCCTATTGGGGTTGCAAGTAAACATCGTATTGGAACAAAAGCGAGCGCTTTCAGTCATGACTCACACACATTCTAATACAGCCTGTCGCACAAAATTACTAATAAACGGAAATTGAAGTTTAATGTAAAATTAAAAAAAAAAACTTACAAACAAAGTATTTAAGCGCTAAATATTGCATTTATTTGGTCTCAACTAATCTATTTGTATATGTATTATGTTCCTTTGAAATAAATTTATTTTAAACACAAGGCAGGCAATAGTGGTTCTTGTGTAACAGACTATATACATGTATCAACGCTTGAGTAACATACATGCAACTGAACACTTCTAAATCTCATATCTTTTATTAATTAGCATGAAACGATTATTTAACGTCTAGTTTTCTCTCGTCGAAATCTATCATGTAACACGAATCAATGTATTTAATTGAAATTACAGATGGTCGAAGATTTTTTTTCCAGCTCGACATTGTTCTGTTGCATTTTCAACCAATTTTTTTTCCAGGAAAACTCATTTGTCAAATGCTTGATTATCAGAAAGTTAATAAAAAAGTGGAAACAAGCGGCGAAGAATGCTGGAACATGCTGAAGGATTGTAAAATAACGTAGAGATCGCGCGATTTACCAACATTTTCAGGCGTAACTTCTGAATAAATCTCGAATATTTTTCCTCTTCCTGACACAGTGTTGATTCACCTCGGAAAATGAAACGACTTGATATGTTTGTGTGCGGATGTATATTTGCATGTATATTTTCACGTACGTACGCCAGTATGTTATATAAAAATAAATAAATTGCTTAACGTTTTCTCCTTTATTTTATGAGAATATTATGCTGTACGCATCACATAATCTATATTTCTAATCTACAAACGTATACTAAGCACCTAGTGCGATTACATAATAGTTTTTAAGTCGTTGCATTATTAATTCAAAACAATAGATTACGCATCATATGCTTACAGCAAAGCCGAGAATAAAGAACAAATAAAGAGCAACTTTTAGATTATATTCAGTTGCGATATTAATAAGAAAATTATTTATATAAGATAAGAAGTGTTAATTTTTAAGACGCGTTCTACATTTTGCAAACTGTTTGAGATTCTAATATAAAAGTGTGCGCAGATAAAAATAAAAAGGCTCACTTTGCATAGTCGTAACAAAAAAAACTGTTCCTTTTAACTTCAAAAGCTGACAAAAAGGTGGTTTTGTGTATTTTGTTTTTCTAAATAGGTTGTTATGGTTGCATGTCTTTTTTGTCAATGTTAAAAACAAATCAATAAATTTGCTTACAGAGAGATGTGTGTATACATATATGTGTGCGTGCGTACGTGTTTGTGGGTGTGTGTATATACATGTGAACATGATCTATGCACAAGGATTTTGCAGAGAGGATAGGAAGCGATTGTTACAAGAAATAGTAACGTAGGTTGTAACGTAGGAAAATATAACAATTTTCAACGTATTGGTTTATTTTTCTTAACTTTTCTTTATTTAATGCCAATTAAATAAAAACTCTTGTTTCTCCCGCATCTGAAAGAAACTAAAAAGTTCGCTTTACACATATTTACAAGAATTTTGGAATAATCCCAATTTAGATATATACCTAATTGTTTCTTAAAACTTCCGCAATTTGATTTTTGAACAGATTATCAATAATATACTATATAAACTTTCCGAACAGTGAGACTCTTCACATCCCTGCAAGAATACTTGCAACTCTAGCTTTGCACATATTTAATACTAAATTAATTGCATCACGATGCGTACATACCTATAACATAAGAAAAGAAATTAAAAGAAAAAAAACATTAAACCAAACAGCTTGATACGTGCATAGAATATTAACAAAGCGTAATATATATTTGTTATACAGAATGTGTATCATGCGCAAAAAGTTTTCAGGTGCTAGCGCACTTTATAATCTTGCACGACGGAAAAGATTTGCCAAGCAAGTTTAACCACTTTTCATGCAAGTGGTCGATTCTTTTGGTTTTACATCAAGATGACAACGAACTCTTCCGCGCGTTTCAGAATTGAATGATCAAATCATGAAATTTATAGCAAATGATTTCCCGATCACATGTACATGATTGATTGATGGATTCTATTCAAAAGTTTCAGATGCCCGCAAACGAGAGTGAATACGCGTGCTGATGAAATTCACAGTCACGATTTCACTCGCGTTCGCGGTCGAGCTAGAGAAATGATCAATTCGAATTTTGCCTTCACGATATATTCTCGCGAGACAAACGCGCACGAAGAATTTTGCTCTCAGCTGTATGCGAAATTGAGATGTCCTTTTGTTATTGTAGGTGCGTCTTTGAAATTAAAGCACTTCTGGAAACGCTTTTGTCAATAATGACCGATATACATAGATTGTGTGATAATAGCAAACGCTGGCTCTTCAAACTTCCATATTTCTATCGCATCATAAAGTATGCAAACGTTGCATAAAATTATACAGGATAACGAGGGTGACTAGGGGTCAGCGATAGAGATCGATGCGATGAAGATACGCGATTGCCTTAAACCGCATAATACGAGAGAGCATGCCTTGTGAATAAATTATGACTTGTATAATCCAGAATCGTTCTCGGATCCGCGCGGCAAACGAAATAACTAAAATAGTCACGTGAATGCGCAAAAGATCTGTTTTTGCATTTGTAAACGGATTAATAATTCAAACGTTATTATCTTCTTCCACTTTCCGCTATATAAATAAAATTTATATTTCGGAGATTCCACGGAGATAAATAACAACTTTGTCTCGCACTTATTTCTATTTCGAATTAAAAAACAATCTAATTATTTTGTTAGTAACAAAAAATTTGTTACTTAATCACTCAGTTGAACGCGGGTTCAATTTTTTTTAGCGGTAAAGAATAATTAGATACGTCGATACATTTATCCCTAGTTGACTATTGCACTTGAGATTAAGTTTTGTTTTACAATTAGTCTATGTTATTGTGCAACAAGTTGATACATGTGATTAACTTTAATAATAGCGTTATTGTTTGCTGTTTTCTTGTTAAAAATTGAACTGAAAGACAAAGTTTTTTGAATCTCTTCGCAAGTGCGAATAAATTTTATTATTAACTCAAAAACACGTTATTATTATCAGAGACATTTTACGTGTCAGTTCATACATTGTACGCATGCATCATTTTCCGCAAAAATTTACAAGTCCGAGTTAAAATTACATATACGGTCGGTTTTAACTACGCGATACATCGCAGAGAGCAGCTACTCACTTGGCCCGAGCTACATTTCTCCGATTTCGTTCGCGATGCAAACGGAATTTGGCGCGGGCGGACTCAAAAGCGGCAAAATAAACGAACATTGATTCGGCATTCGCCTTAAATACACACGGGCGCCGCTCCGTGCAATATATAACGTACGTGCCGTGGTACGCCGCATGTTACACACGGAAGACAAATACGCGGCAGGCGCGTCGTAAACAAAGTGCGCAAATCGCAAATGACGCGAGGAAGGGGGCGAGGACCTCCGTGCGACGCCATCGCCGACGCGTCGACACGATTGCCTTCTATTATTCTTTATCTTTATCGGAGAGCCTCGCAAAAGAACGACTACGGAAGATCAATGCGCGCGTCGTCGAGAGTCTCGCCTCGTAACAGAAAAAAAAGAAGCACGCGGTATACAATAAAAAAATTAAAAAAAAAAACCATTGGTAATTCGATAACGCACATAGCGCTTTATATTTTCTCCAGATTTTATTTGATTGATATTATCGAATTTTATTTGTTTACAACCAATTTAACAACAAATTTCAGCTTATATCAAACTAGCGAAGATAAATTTAGTCGTGTGAATCAATAATGCTAGCTAGGTGTTTGTGCAAAATATATTTTTTATTTATTTCAAACGTGTAAATTAATACATATAATAATTTAAATTGAATTCAATTTAAAAATTCGTCTAGAATGCTAGGTTTGCATCACGCATATAGACGAAATAATTTGTGCCTCTCTCTTCCTATGAAAATTAAAACAATTAAAAAGGTATTTTAAGAAAAATCTTGGCCAGAAGTCTCGATTTTTGTACAATCGCTTTCCTAATTCTTGTGTCTTTTTCGCAATAGATTTTTTGTTTAATCTAAACTTTTGATTTCTTTAAATTTAGTTCAATTTATTTTCATTCATATATATATACAAGTTTAAGATACTATTTTCTCTTATCTCCGTTCACATATGTTTTTACTCTTTATATTATGTTTTATATATATATTTTTTAATTGTATATGCAACTAATGATCTTTTTTACAACTTGTAATTTGTGACGCAGAACGTTCTAGCGTTTATACATAAGATAACACATTTACACGTTCGGTTTTTTGATAGACCTCATTGGACCGTGCGCAGGAGCATGATGCGAGGTGACGTCAATTTCGCGTGCGCGAATACGGGCCGAATGTCACGCGCGACCTGCAATTTCTGTTTACGTTTCGGCCACGACCATCCTTGCCACGCAATTCTCCCGAAATTCCGTTCGATCGATCACTTTTTAATTCGCTCCGACGTCATCCGGTCTACTCCTGGATCGTAAATCGGAAAACGCGAATGCACACCGATGCTTAAGATATGACGCAATTTTGGATATTCGAGAAGTAACAACCTCTTGTTGTAGGATTTCGTTGCAGAATTCGAGGCGCAATGAAACTACGCGAACTATGCGACGGCGAGAAAAGTTAGCGCACATGCGAAATAGCGCATAAAATAGTTTATTTTCGAGTGAAAAACGCTTTACAGAGAAAATGCCAAAGTTCCGTTCTTCTGCAGTTTTAAAATACAAAATCAATTTGAACTCGTTATTGTTAATTACTTTATTATCTTTATTTATATCTTTGATTTTTATTGAGATACCATAAATATTACTATTTTAAATTGATAAAAATAAAAACAATCACGAATAGATCACTCAAAAAATAAACAACACGTTATATCTCTTTATTTACCAAATAGAATATTGAATTAAATTGAATAAGAAATTATTCAGCGAATAAATTAAAATTAGCAATGAGAAGAAAGAAAACCAATAGATGACAGACAGATATATTTTTAGTTTCCAAGTTAACAAAAAGACTCGTAATTAAAGTTACGTGTAGTAGCTCACCAATACGACCTCCATCGCGCATCGTATCGTTGATATGCCGTTATGGCTTCTTGTGAAAAATCGCAGGATTACTGCTCGTCACAAAAAAAGTGCCAACATTCAAAATGTTATTTTTTAAGACGAACAAGTTTGCCTTAGAAAGCACTCGAAATAATTTAATCTAATCTACTGGTTGAAATGATACACGATAAAATTATTGAGCATGACGATATCTCGAGAGGTTCCTGAGAATTTTTGGCATCTGTCCCGATTCGTTCACAATAGTTGCAAGAATTTATATACAAGGTTGAGAAAACGCTGTGTTTCAGGCCAGAAATGCGAGAAAAACAATTAACGTTTGCGCAAGAATACCTCGAAAAACATCTTACATTATCATCCGAGTTGTTTACGCTATGTAAAAAAAAAATAAGAAATAAAAACATGTCAATGAGTTTTATACGAGGACAGACAAAACAGAAGAATATCACGCGAATTATGAGGAGCGAACGACAACTGTATTTGTTGTAAATGCGGCTACAAAATTGCGAGGTCTTGTTTCCGCGAAATGTCAGAGCACCAACTCCGCGTGTCGACGTCCGCGAGAAGGATCGTTCGTAACGAACGACACGCGCCGATGCGCCCGCGCACGTCTCCCTTTTCTCTCTTCTCTTTTCTCTTCTTTGAGAAATCACAAACGGATATGTTGCTAAGAAATTAAATTTCGAAGAATCGTATAAAAGTTTATGCCGCTTATATTTTGCTGGATACATTGGAATGCAACGTGATTATCGGCAACCGATGACAATCGTGGCAGATGTTGCGCATCCGAACAATATGAGAACCAAAAGATGCTGCATAATAAATCAGAAGATGGACGCAACAGAATTCGTCGAGTGAAAATTCGAAGATATTTTTAATTGAATAATAAATGTCGAAACGAAAACCTATTTTGAAAATGAAAAGCCGCGTTGTGAATTAAATTAAAAAGAAAAATAAATCACGCAAAAATATATAAATTACGAAAATTACACATGGTTAAATTTTAAGATTTCACTTCACCTTTCTTTCTCTCTCTCTCTCTCTGTGTGTGTGTGTGTGTGTGTGTGTGTGTGTGTGTGTGTATGTGTAACAGAGAAAGAGAGAGAGAGAAATCGCATGTTCGAGATGAAAGAGTGTAAAACGATATCTCTCGATATCTTCACTCGTGAAAAGTTTGTTCTGAATTTCACAAGAAACAAAGCTGTACGTGTTCACTTTCTGACAATTCTAGGACATCGTTTATATATAGAGATGTGTTCTTTTACTCGCTCTGTAAATTTCCTACAATTTTTGCCCTGTCTTCTTTCTTTCTCGCAAAGCACACACACACACTCAAAGTTCCATATTACAAAAAAATGGCTAAAAACAGTGAAAAAAAAATCACAATAACAAGCACAAATCTTAGATTGCGAAATATGAAAGATAATAGGAAGGAGAAAAAGAAGAGCATAAAAGAATCGATAATTTAATCGGATAAATTCGATTAAAAGTGACTGAAACAAATTTAAATACAAATTCGTTTCCTAGAATTAATTTTCTAGGATATGGCGTGCACGTTGCTTCAAAGTCCATACGTAAATTTTCCGCGAAATGTTTTGTCCACATTCTAATTATTTGTTTTTCTTTGCAAAATAGGCATAGATAGTGATACCCGCGACATGTGACAGAGAAGGTGCATGCCAATTTTCTGCAATTTACACAACTCATGAATGAAGTAATAAAATTAGCAGTCACAGAAGCGGGTAATATCTGTCGTGACTGCAATAACAGTATCATATTGAAGCGAATCACTTGCAATGCGTGTATCTGTAACTACTAAAAGCTGATAAATAAAAGCAAAATATCAATGTTTTTTTTTCCAGAAAGGTTATATTAACGTTAAAAAATACACTAATGTTTATGTGCAGATTTGTTTATAATTCTGGTGTGAATAAATGCTATTACTCAATTGTTTTATTTTTCATTGTCGTTTTATGATAAATAGAATTGAATAATTAGATCAAGAGACAAATTGAATTTCATATTGCTGGATTAAAAACATAATATTTTTGAGTAATACATTTATTTCAGTCCGACGTATATAATTTGTCGATGTGCGACGCAATTTTATAAAAAAAAATGCTATGTAACAGCATCTTGTCCATACATAATATATTTGTGTCGCGTGTATTTTTGACTCAATATTATATGAACTCCTGCGGTAACACACGCGTGTTATCAACGTACCTAAATTATCTACTCCAAACAATGAGATAACAACACGAAAACAGAATCTACTACAAAAAACAAGAGCCATTACTATTATATATTCACGATGTTATTAAAATTAACAGCGTATTTAATGCAATCGCAGAGAGACTGCGTAATTTAACGAATGTTACATCACAGCAAATAAAAAAATTGCATGTAGGTATTGTTTACACGCACACAAGTCACGTCTCTACTTCGAGATGCAAGCAACGCAGCAATATGAAAACGCGGTCCATTCACAGATTCTTTACTTATCATTCTCAAGCACGTTGGTATCATCATGAGCACACACGCGCGCGCGCGCTCGCTTGTTTACGCACTCGCGACGCGCGCTTTCGGCGTCTTTTCGATGTGCATCGTTGTCGTCGCGACGACCGTCGCGTCGAGTTTCCGATACAGAGAGCGACGTTCGAAAACGCGCACGCGAAAAAGATGACGCGCTCGCTTTGTCGCGCGAAATATCGTACGACGACTCGACGGCGTCGTGACCGTCAGTGCGGTCGCGAACAACGATGCTCATTGACATTCCGATCGCGCGCTCCGAGCATCGTCGTCAGGGGGATCGTTTCCGTGTGCGAGAGAGCACAAAGATTTTTACGCGCGTCGTAGTCGCGGTCGCTCTGCTCGGACGCCACGAAGAACAAAGAAGAGGGTAGTAGTCAGGGTATGGGGGGAAAGGAAGAGGAGAGGGTGGCGTGCATTCAACAACGAGAACGCACCGCTGGCGACCGCGAAAGCAAGAGAGAGAAAGAGACGGAAAGAGAGAGGGGAAGGAAAAGAGGGAGAAAGAGACAGACAGACAGACGGTGTGTAAGAGAGAAATAAAGAAAGACAGAAAGAAAGGAGAGACGGAAGGAAAGAGGAAAGAAAGGACAAAGGACGGAGCTGGCTGGCTTTCTGGCTGGCTGGCTAGCTGGCTGGCTGGCTGGCTGGCTAGCTAGCTAGCTAGCTAGATAGTCAGCTAAGTCTGCTTTTGCTTACTTCAAGTTACTTGTATGGTCAATGAGAAATACGTAGCACGCGCGTAGCAAAAAGACTGAGAATGACAGCGTGTTGCTAGCCAGCCACAATAACCAGAAGATGCCCTGGCGCATGACGCTTTTACATTGCCGTCGTCCTTGTCATAGGTCGTCATCGTCGTCATTGTCGTCGCTCGCGCTCACGACAGAAACACGAAAACAACGACAACGAGGATGCCCGCGGCAGTCGCTGCGCTTCACGCAGACCAGAGGAGCGAATCAGCTGTTCGCCTCGGCAATGACAACATTGAACACGCACGACCCCCCCTGGACGTGTGGCACTTCGACGCGCGTTTCCACGGCCGCGTTTCGGCCGCGATACGACGCCGATGGCGTTGACTTACCTCGAGCCTGGTCCGCCCGGAGTGTATCATCCTTTTGCGTCGCGTTATTTTGCAAAACTTCCGGGAGTTCCCGCACGGTATAGTCGCAAAAAAAAACGTCGCGCGGCCGAACGATTCGCAACGTTTCGCGAGAGAAATGGCCGAGTCTACTGAATGCTCGACGTGCGAACGCGGGAGTGGGGAGAACGGACAGGACGGAAAGCGCCGCCGCTTTCTGTCGGCGCCGTAGCGAGCGACAAGCCGATTAGTCGGCCGCGGTTGGCTTGACGACAGCGTGACCAATCGCCGCTCACACAGCCATTGTTTACACGCTTCCCATTGGATCGTTATTTTTGTGAGAGTAGGACGACGAGCGTGCATTTTACGTCAAATGACGTGAGAGAGCACTCTCGTCGCGCTCCGAGAAATAAGCGAGAAACAATCGGAGCACGGGCGTGCGCGTATGTATACGTAACTGTTATGTATACATACATGTATACATATAGATGTATATTTCTTATTGCAGGTAGCGATGTTACCGACTTAGGATCTGCGGTTACCAAGTACGTGCGTGCGTGCGCACGCTTCTCCACGTCCTAGATAAGCGCGCACGAAGATAAGATCGGCGCGTGTTGCTAGGTTCGCTTTGATTCGTGTCTCGGCTAGAGAACGCGGCCAGGAAAATAATCCCGTTGACCTGGATTCAATTATGGCTTGACCGAAATATTTTATTCATGGTCGGAATAGAAGGAGAAGACAGAACGACACACGCAAGAGATTTCAATAATCTTAAAAAAACAAAAAAATATTGCACACTAACAAAAATCGATAATTACCTACATACTTTAACTTGATCGCTTGATCAAAATTGTTGATATGTTAAAACTAATATTGTAATGCGCATGTAAGAAATATATAAATAGGTAGATATGATAGCGTGATTATAGATTCATAAAAACATTTCATAATTCATACTTTGTAACATGTAGTGATATCATCAACGACTCACCTCAAAGAGAGGTGTGCAACATGATTAATGATGAGATTATAATGAACAATCGCATAAGCATTCTTAGCATTTAATTAACATATTGCGCATAACATGCGCTGTATTATGATTATCTTCCAAACGTATTATTTTTCCGGATTAATAAAGTAGTGCATTGAAAGTTAAATAAACAAATTTATTCTTATATATTATATTTTATCATATCTATATGACTATACGTCGCATCTTATCCAAAAATTACGTGTTGCACGTCGAGTTAACGGATATCGTGATATGTTGTCATATTTTCTAATCGTAGAACTTCAGTCAAAGCATGTGACATTATCGTAGATTAAAATTAATAAAAAAAAAATTACGCAATGTAAACGATAATACATTATAATAAAAAATTGTTACTTTTAAAGATTTTCCTAATAACTAATTTTGAATTATAAATTCAATATACAATACCCATGTATATCGTATACAAGTGATATATATCATGTATCACAATTTCTACTTTTTTCGATTTTAAGATTACTAAAGCGATGTACTAAAACAATAGTGATAATTTATACTAATGCTTTTGAAATTCCTATTAACCTTTTGTAGGCCTGATCCTAGACCTACCTACTCACAAATTTCAATCGTTGTCTCAAGTAAGTATTAGTTTTGAGCGACATCTGAGAACCCTGAAAAAAAAACTTTAGGGCTTTAGACAACTGTAGAGGATGTTGACAGTGTCGATCGTCCAATAGCTTTGCGAATATTTTGTTGTAAAATGTGAAAAGGATCTGACCTAGGCCTATAGGAAACATTAGTTTTTCGTAAAGTAAATTTATAACAATTCAAAAAAAAGTTGCGAAGATCTTGAAGTTTAAAACTAACAACAAAATTTTAACCAGTCAGAGAACCTATGCTATATAGATGTTGATGCGAAACAAATAAATATATACATATATTTATACTTATTTCTTTGTACAAATTTTACACGTGAATTTTGAATTGGAATTTTAATTTGTAAGTTCATATAAGATGCTATATTTACATCACATATATAAGAAATACCCGTTTACTTCCTTGCCTAATTTAATTATATTGCGAAAAAAACTCCCGGGAGTCGAACCCTGAAATCTCTCGCTTTTTGTGCGATCGGCATCTCAATTCTGCCACTAAAAGTAAATTTATTTTAGTTTGACCACTCGTAATATATCAACTAATTGATGTTTTTTTTTCATAATTTTGTCAAAATTTATGTACATTTACAGCAATCTATTAAGTTATGGTGCGCAGAGTATGCGATTTGCGACTACGAGAGCTTTTGTCCGTGGAATATTTTCAAACAATTGTCTTTTTTTTAAACACTTATGTCATCGAAACTGAAGATTTTTTAAATCTATTTTTTTTATCGGCGTAGAATCTTTCACATTTACGATTCAAAAAAACAAAATTGAAAAAATGTTTTTTGCGGAGATATTTGATTTTAAAATCGCGTGGGCCTCACAGACCCAATTTAGTTAGTACTCGTAGGTTTTTTTTTAGGTCTACAGGCGAAGAATTAATGTCTCTGAAATTTTTTTTAACGAACTTTACGCACAGATATTTAGAGATAGCATGTTTTTGTTATCAGTAACGTGTGTAACGTCATCCTCGATATTAAAGTATTTTAATTATCAATATTGATAAATCATTGAATTCAGGATATGTCATATCTGTTTATTCAAACAGCTTTTGAAAATACACATATACTTAATAGTTTTATTGTTTCTAAAGCTGAGTGATTACAATCTTGTCTTTTATTGGATGTTGGTAATATTATTCTTTATTGCAGCAATAATAAAACTCAGAAATAAATATTGATAAATGACTAGCAAATCTTCTTTTATTATACATAACACAGTGTGACTGAGCATTATAATTATTAAAATATACATTATATACAAAGGTTGTAAGATTTTTCTAGCGGGTTGTGAGAGATGTCGGAAATCATCTTGCATGTGTGTGTGTGTGTGTGTGTGTGTGAAGCGTGAGAATTTTTTAGAATTATACTTTATTATTATCTTAAACTATAGAAAATAAAAACTTAATTTATTTAAATTTGATCTTAAGTAAATAAAGTATTTGTTCATCAAACATAATTCATTTAAGAAGATTATTTCTAAATATGACGTTTTTTATTATGAAATTTATTTTTATTATCTAACATAAAAATCTGAAGATCAAATTTTATCAATGATAATCGATTTGTCTTTTAAATCGACATACAACGCAATATTACTGTTTTAAATTAACTTGCTATTTTTTCTTGTGTAGTATTGTAGACTATTGCAAATAATGTTGTTATTATTCTATGTATGATACTTATCTTAATTTCTCTCATTCTCTCTAATTTGTTAAAAAAAAAGAAAAACAAAGTCTTTAATTAAATATATTATTAAACTATATAACCTTTGATAAAATGTAGGTTATCATTTTGTAAAGAAAATATCTCTTATCTCAAGTGCAAATATATTTGCTTGATTTTTTTGGTGTGTCGTTGAAGTTTAGAAGATTTGTTGATTCGTACATGTGTTCAATTTTCTTGTTTCTTATTAACTTATGTATTTTTTGTTACTGATATCACGCATTCATCCAGCGTAAATTTTAATTCTTTTAACAATAAAAAATACGCCTCGTATTATCTGACAATATTTTAAAGGCTCTTAAAGATAACGCGCATTTTTATATAAACCTGTGACATTATATGCTTTTGTATTATGTGTATTTTGTATACATATACATTTTTTGATATAATATCTGATTGTAAAAAATTGAGTTGCCCACAATGATGTAATCTTTGATAATTTGTCGACAATTTTGCTACATGAGTTATTAGATTTTAGTAATTATAATAGTAATTGTAACTCGATGAAAATTCTAGATAAGACTTTCGCATGCGCAAATAACTATATTTTTAGGAAATGATACTTAAGGTACGAGATTATTATCGATCGATAAGATGATATAAAAATCGATACGTTTGTTCAAGTCATCAGTTATTGTATTTTGCTGAATGTGATTCGTTTTGACATATTAATCAAGCGATTTTTCTACAATGAGAGGTAAGTCTTCAAAAAGTTTATATGCGTTTTTTGCATTAACAGTCAAAATTTCGTTTTGTATATAATGTAGAGAGTTTAGTATGTTAAATTGTTCTCATATTGCAACTACAGCAAAGTGTATTAGTCCTGTCGGTCAAGTTTATTTCTTGCAATCTTTACAAGATCTCTGCTCTCTTTCTGGAAACAAATTATCATCGTACAATATCTGATATATTGTAGAATAAATGTTTCTTGACATCACTGGCCTGTACCGGATAAAATAAAACACAAAAAGTAGCTTGTTAAAGTCAAGCCAAAACATGATGTTAAAGTGCAATCTATATATTTGATTGCTCAATGATTTAATAATTCTTGTTAGCTGTATCTTATTTTTACATAAGTTTATTTTTTTGCTATAATTATCTTATTCTTTGATAATTATGATTATCTAATATAATATAATGATACACTAATTTTATATACTTTAATATACTGATTTTGTTGAACAAACGAATGAATCTTGGACAATTACAAGGCCTAGAAATTTTCTAACTAAAAAAAAGTTGAACAAAAATACTTTTTATTGTATTTAGCAATTCAATCTTATTTACAAGTTTCTACTGTTAACGTTAAATATGTAAGCGAATCTATTATATCTATTTAATAGCGCAATATTTTTGTTATACGAGAATAATCGCAGAAAGAGAGAGAGAGAGCGAATTTTCCTCATGTAGACAAGATTTGACCATTAAGTCAATTTTCAAACGATAAAAAATAATCTTTTATCGTTAATGTTTTTGTATGTTTTGAACAATAAAGTTGTACTATCGCGCGGTGTTCTTTTAAAAGCCGATAAAAGTTATTTCTCGTTAAGCGACAGCCATTCTAGTGATATTACAACAAACATACATACATGTGTTTATATATGTATACACATACACATATATATGCAAATAAAAGACATACATACATTCTTTAAGAAACACAATCTTTTAAAAAGATCAAATATATAATAATTTTTACATACATACATATTATTAATATTTAATATTTCTAATTTCTTTTATCTATTATACAGGATATTATTTCCCGACAATTGTCGCCCTCATCGCCACATTGACAGTCGTTACATCGTTGGATACCACATCTGAATGTCCTCCAGACAAAGTTGTCAGACTGTCTCATCCTGAGAAATGTCACTTATACTACATTTGTGTAAACGGCAAAAAGATTATTGCCCAGTGTCCTAAGGGCCTGCAATTCAATCCAGTTCTCCAGCAGTGCGACTGGCCGATATTACCTGGAAAATGTTTCTTGAATAACGTGGACACTCAGCCAGATGTACCGGATGAAAACGAGAAAACCACGGAAAAATCCAAAAATGAAAGAAGTACAGAAAGCAGCGCTTCTGCATCGCCCGTCACAGATGACAATACACATCCGGACGGTACATGCTTCGGTACATGTCCGGATTCGGATTCTAAAGAAGAAGTGACACATCTTCCGGTTTACAAAGATTGCACCAAGTTTTGCAAATGTTCCAACGGCGAAGCAATTCTTCAGGACTGTCCTAAAGGTCTGCATTTTGATAAGAAGAATCAGATCTGCAATTGGCCACGAAGTGCTAATTGTCCTTGGAAATAAAACAATAGAATATATTAAAATCCTGAAAGTAGCAAGTAGAAACAGAATGAAGTTAGATAAAAGCGCATTCGTCGATTCTTCGGATCTCCATCATTATTGCAATGAGCATTACTGTAATCAAGCAACGGAAAGAGGAATCGCCGCTTTGAGCAGTCAATCCATTTTCATCTTTTCTTAACGCAATTTTTTATCTTATTTAAAGATAAACGTTTTTATCTTATTTTTAGTGTAATCTTTTAGGTACTAGATTTTTATTACATAACACACATGCGCGTGCGCTCCTGTAAATTTTTATAAAGAAAAAAATAAAAATTTTCCATAATAGATAGAAATTTGTATTATGTATATACAGGGTGTTTCGTAATTGCATCTCACCGCTTGTAGGTAGGTAGAAGGGATTATTCTAAGACGAAAAGTCCTATACCACTTTGGAAGATTTGCAATAATTAATGAGATATGAATTAACAAAGATCCGCTAATCAGCGTGCTAATCCAGCGTAAGGACAGCCCAGTCTATCGCGCCGTAGAGACGGAATAGGAGGAGTTAATAGAATAACATGTGCATACACAGACAGCACATAGGCTGCGTTCGGGCAGCGCGCTATCCGCGCTATTGTATTCCATCGCTACGGCGCGACAGACTGGGCTGTCCTTACGCTGGATGCACGCTGATTAGCGGATCTTTATTAATTCATATCTTGTTAATTATTGCGAATCTTCTAAAGTGATATAGAACTTTTCGTCTTAGAATAATTCCTTCTACCTGCCTACAAGCAATGAGACGGCAATTACGGGACACTCTGTATATATACATGTAGAGATTGACATTAAGCAAATTTTTGTTTGGATACAAAAAAAAGATTTGCTAGAATAGCAAGAAATTATATAGTTACTATATGGCAAACAAGAAAAATTTGCTAAGTCTTTTGAGATTTTTGTTTTACTAATAAAACGTTTTGCTGTGCTAATAAAGCGTTTTGTTGATGAAAAAATCAAAACTCGACTATTTTTCTTGCTAGCTATATCATAGCAAAACCGTTTAATCTGTTAAATATTTCATTGATAAAAATTATCTGTTGTCAACAGAATTTTTTGTTATATCTACATTTTATATCTTGTATCAATAGATTATTAATTAAGCTGAACATTAAACCTAAGATTTGTTAGTACATAAAAAGTTTTATTTGATTGTTTTTTTAATAATTATGTATTCCCCACACATACACATAAACATATACATATACAAAATTTATGTTTTTATTTTCAATTCAAAATTAAATTAAAACGAATTCTTTAAACAAATTAATATATTAAGAAGTTTTTTATCAAAAACTGATATAAAATTCATTATCTATATCTTATTGTTAAGTCTAAGTTTTTTTACATCAAGATACACAATTAACTGATATTATTTTAAGACATTTAAAAGATTTTAAACTTGAAAACATAAATTATGAAAAAGTCTGTACACATTGCAAGAAGTTGTACTTTTTAAAACATTGTAATGCAAAATAATAAATTAAATATATTAATTATATGTTTTTACATTATATTTTGAGTTATTATGTTTTTAATTACTATCACCTGAAAATAAAAACTTCATACCGTTAATACAAAGCATATATTGTTAAAAATTAAGCTATGTGTGTAAATGTACAAATATTTCTTGATCCAATATGCTTAATTGATTTCTTTAAAAGAAGAATTTTGCCAGTGTTAGATATGATAAGCGAGCTAGGCGATAACGCGCTACGCACTTATAAAAATCATTTCGTAAACGCATTTTCGTCAGTTACTAACGTAATGTGAGTGAAATAATAGATCTTGATGTTTATAATGAATAAACTCGCGACAATGAAAGGTAAGTGATCGTAATTGACGACAGATAAATCAAAAACAAATAAATTTGTGAGTAAAATAAATATTGAAAATAAATTTTTTCTAAAAAGAGACTTTTTAGTGCAGTGTAAATACGTATATAATTTATATATGATTTTATTTTTATATGATTTTATTTTATTGTGCATAAATGTTAGAATAAAGAGAATAAAGTTATACGTACAAGATATTTATTATAAATGTGCTTATTTTATAAATGTTTCTTTTTACTTTTGCACTGCTTTAATCCTTGAAATTAATTTAATTTTATTTTTTTAATTTTATTTTTAGTTTATTTATTTATGTGCCGTATATTTAAATGTAATAATGCACTTAATATCAATAGATATTTTGAAAAGAATAGAACAAAAACATATTATAGAAGAAAAACATATTATACAAATAAAGAAAAATAATAAAAAAGGAATAGTTAGAAACGTTATCTACTTATTTGAGTCAAAAAAGTAATGTATGCTCAAAAAGCAATAAGTCGAATAAAAGGAAAAAATAAAGACGACTTAACAAATCATTTTTTTCTTTTATTTGCAATTTTAATTGCAATTTTATTCCTAAGAGAACTAAAATGATTTATATTAGATTGCTTATGTGTGGCAGTCACAGGAATGATACATTACTGGTTAATACGTTAAGTGTCGCGGCGTATTTAGATAGATACATGTTTTTTCATAATTTTCAATCACTATTAAAATTTTGTATCCTCTCATGGTGCTTAACGCGTTCAAATTTTCTATCGTCAGTTACTGGACTGACGCAGCCTGAACAAAAAATATATTGTCAGTTACCAGTCAGTCACTTAACATGTTAAATAAAAATAAATTTCTTAAATGACATGTTATTTCTACAAAAAAGTATATATATAAGTATATATATAAGTATATAGATCTGTCTCTTATCTTCAAAACTAATGTATATATTATCTTGATTTTTAGATATATACAATATGGCTATTTTATATATGGCCATATTAGGATGCGTTGTTGCGACTCAATCAACAAGTGTTTCAAGATCAGAATTTACAAGAAGTAAATTATCTGTAACTTGCGATTCCGATAACACCTTGCATTTGATTCCTCATGAGACTATGTGCGATTATTACTACACTTGTTTCAACGGTAATATAAATCCGATTCCAACAAAATGCAAAAGCAATTTACTTTTTAATTCAAGACTTCGCGTTTGCGATTATCCGGAAAATGTTGACTGCAATATCAACGTATCATCTTACGCCGCTATCACCTTATTGCCAATATTAACAAGACCAACGCCGTCGATTTCGCGGCCAACTTATCCGACACGATCATTTGTAGAACAATCAATTGCAAAAGAAATAGATCTAACAACAAACGCTCTCGATAAATCTCGCAAGGTGTGTCCTCCTAAAGGATCAACTAAAAAAACAAGAATTGCTCACAATTGCCACTGTGATTTGTATTATGAATGTAAAGATGGCGAACAGATACTTAAAACATGTCCGATTGGCGAGCATTTTGATCACATACAAGAAGTTTGCGATTTGATTGATAAAGTGAATTGTGTTCGACCGATATTAAGTTACGATCTTACAATTAGCGATCATAATAGTGAATGTTTTCCAGCAGGCAAAACATTTCAACATGAGAATAATAGCTCTGAATACTATTTATGTTTGGAAGGTAGAAAAATTTTACAGAATTGTGCAGCAGAGCAACACTTTTATGTTACGCTCCAAAGATGCGAATATCCGCAAAGTGCAACTTATTTAACTTCCGATCCATCTAACTTTCTTGTGACAGACGCTACAAACGCTTGTCCTTCCTCGAGTTCTAAAAAGAAAGTATTCTTGCCTCACGAGTGTTTGTGCACAAAGTATTATGAGTGCGTTAAAAGACGTAAACATCTTCGATTTTGTAAAAAAGGCCTATATTACGATCGCACTTTAGAAACTTGCGTTGATCCAGTTAAAGCTGATTGTGAACATAAATATCCAAAAGAGTGTCCGCATGCAGGCTCATCAAAAAAAGTATATTTGCCTCACGAATGTACATGCTTTCAATATTACAAGTGTGTTAAAGGACGTAAAATTCTTCGATTTTGTCCAGAAGGTCTATATTTCGATCGTTTTCGACAGATTTGTACTGATCCAAACGAAGCCGATTGCGCTGTTGGAACGTCAACAACAACAAGCACAACATCGTCCACAAATCCAACGACAATATCTACAGACACAACTATAACATCCACGGATACATCTACAACATCTACGGAATCAACTACACCAGATATAAAATGTCCTTCAAAAGGAACTACACGGATTCCTGACAACACAACATGCAACGTATATTATGAATGCGTAGATGGTAAAGCCATATATAAAAAATGCGACCTTGGCTACCATTACGATCATATACGAAAATGTTGTGACTTAATTGCAAGAGTGAATTGTATCCGACCGCTTCCGCCTTATATTATATATAATGATCTTGATCCAGCCACTTGCATCGGTACTTGTCCTGAAGAAGATCCTGGTTTTGGGGTTCAATCATGTCCCGAGCCTCTTTACTTTGATTCTGTAGATAAAGTATGCAAGTACAAAAAAGACGCCGTTTGTGATGTTCCTCCATTTAATCAACATTTAGCTTCAACACAGGATCAACTTGACGATCAAAACGAGTTGGTTAATTTAATAAATCAGGACAAGACTAGGAAATATGAAGCACACGATGAGTCTGTATCGAAAAAGACAATTTACAATTTGGATCCAGCAACTTGCATCGGCACTTGTCCTGAAGAAGATCCCGATGACGCAGTTTTACTTCCAAACGAAGATTGCAAAAAGTTTTGCTTGTGTAGCAATGGTTTTGCATGGGTTCAATCATGTCCCGAGCCTCTTTACTTTGATTCTGTAGATAAAGTGTGCAAGTACAAAAAAGACGCCGTTTGNGCTGTTCCTCCATTTAATCAACATTTAGCTTCAACACAGNATCANCTTGACGNTCAGAACGAGTTGGNTAATTTANTAANTCAGGAAAACACTAGGAAACATGANGCANACGATGAGTCNGNATCTAAAAAGACAATTTACAATTTGGATCCAGCAACTTGCATCGGCACNTGTCCTGAAGAAGATCCCGATGACGCAGTTTTACTTCCAAACGAAGATTGCAAAAAGTTTTGCTTGTGTAGCAATGGTTTTGCATGGGTTCAATCATGTCCCGAGCCTCTTTACTTTGATTCTGTAGATAAAGTGTGCAAGTACAAAAAAGACGCCGTTTGNGCTGTTCCTCCATTTAATCAACATTTAGCTTCAACACAGNATCANCTTGACGNTCAGAACGAGTTGGNTAATTTANTAANTCAGGAAAACACTAGGAAACATGANGCANACGATGAGTCNGNATCTAAAAAGACAATTTACAATTTGGATCCAGCAACTTGCATCGGCACNTGTCCTGAAGAAGATCCCGATGACGCAGTTTTACTTCCAAACGAAGATTGCAAAAAGTTTTGCTTGTGTAGCAATGGTTTTGCATGGGTTCAATCATGTCCCGAGCCTCTTTACTTTGATTCTGTAGATAAAGTGTGCAAGTACAAGAAAGATGCCTTGTGCGCAGTACGCATGTTGTAATGTTTTTGTTTTAAATCGATATAAATAATAAAACAAAACATAGCGCATAGTGCTTAATTTTTGTAGTAGAATTGTCATTGTCTTATCTAAATCTGAAATTGTAAAGAATCTGAAGTAATACGTTCTGTTGTATATACTGTTAACATTGCATAAGTTTGCTTTTTATAAAGTAATAACATTATCAAAAATAAACTAATAAATTGAATTGTTACGTACTGTAGATTAATAAATTATAAATGATAAGTTTTGTTGTGTTTTTACCAATACTAATTTATATTTTTAGTAAAACACGATACAAGTGTTTCATTCGTTGTATAATTAGTCATATTTATCATGTTGATTATTTAGTAAATGTTGTTAAATTTGATGTTTATATTGTGAAATATGATGTTATATATATATATATATATATATATATATATATATTACATAATCTGTTACACATATACACACACAGTTTTCCTCCATTTTATTGAAATACAGAATTAGCAAGAATGTAATATTGTTTAAACATTTAAAAAGCTTTCTCGAAAATTTTATTTTTTATTTTTTATTTGAAATATATAATAATTGCTATATCTAAAAGTTGTATATAACTCTATAGATACAGAATTGGAGAAGGAGAATTATCACTTGCAGGTAAGTTGTAGATAGATGTATGTGAATTGCAATTTATGTAATTTAACTACTGACTTTAAATATAAATAAGTATAAATAATGTTATAATATATATTATATGATATGTATCTTATAGTATATGTATATTAATAAAAGTATTACGTTAATAAAAATAATATAAGTAGGTTTTTCAAAAAATATTTATTATATTTGTAACTTTGTTTTTTTTTATTTTTATATAAACAGAACAATCTGCATATCAAATTCTATATATTGTATGTGTATAAAAAGATTGTGTAAAAAACTTATTAATTACTTATTAATTAAAAAAATTTGTTAATTTATTATCAGAAACCGCATTTGTGTTCTTATAAACTTTTCAGTTTGATCAAAACTTATTAAAATCTTGAGATCTATATATTCAAAAATAATTTGTAACTTAAACAGCTCCTAATTTCGCCACTTATGTTATTATTCCAGTTAGTGCGTCGTCGTCTAAAATCACGAATGTACAAAAGAGCCACAAGTATTGTGACCTTCGTTACTCACTCTCCTTGATTTAGTGCGAATTGCCATCGCAGAAAATTATCGCTATCTTCTAATGAACATTACAAATCTAAGGATCACGAAAGAAGACAAAACTTGAAAAAAAGCTAAAATTAAGAAAAAAGAGGTACGGTATAAACTATCACTGGCTGATCTGTGAACGACAACGAGGTCGTAGTGGGGAAGACGAAGAGAAACAGCCAGGATGAGAGTACAACACATGAGCAGAAGAAGGAAGCTAACCATAGCAATGATGGTGGCGGTAGTAGAAGAGGGAACCTCCGCAACAGATAGATGGAAGAAGGAGAGAGAAGCGGGAGGTAAAAGAAAGAAGAAGGAGATTCTCGGGAGGTTTCGCGCGTGCAAGAAAGACGAAAAAGAACGCCGGAGAGAACGGTCATTGCCACCACCTCACCTCGACAGAGCACGCTAGAGTCTCCGTCGGTCTGAGAAGCACCGACCCGGACGCGGCCTACCGTCCACGGCTGTCTCACAGTTTAGCCGGCCGTTCAGTTTGTATCTCTACCTCAACTCCACCAACCTGCTTGCCCGTGGGGGGGCTACTACATCTCTCTTACGAGGACGCGAGCGAGCGAACGAGAGAGCGCGCGCGCTCGCTCGATGCGTGTCGTTGTGGCTTGCCGATTCTTTGTGCAAAGGGGAGCGAGCTCGTGAGCGAGCACCTGGATCGGGGGATCGGGTGCTTGATCCAGAAGTCGTGAACCGAGCAAACCAGTTCGATTGGTGCCAGCCGTGGCGAACAGATCGAGCCTGGCGGTCCCGACTGTCCCTCGTGAGGCGCATCCTCCATTAGCGGGTTCCTGCGTGTCGCGGGCCCGATTGTTCTGATATCACGCCCCTTTCAAGCGGGTGTTGTTCCGAGCCCGTGGTCGAAGAGTGTCTTTCAGATCTGAGCGGACACAAGGTCACAGATGAGACGGGGAAGCGCCAGTCGCGGGGACACTACTCGACAGACTTCGACCACGTGGCTGCAGGTGCTCAGCAGGGCTTCTGTCGACGGTTGACAGATCCGCGTGATTTCGTGAAACGCGTGAAGAATCTAATTTTCGGTGACTCGACAACGTCGTCGAGAACGACGATGCACCGTCACGACATCTGACAACGTGAAAAAAGCTCCGTAACGTCGCGGTAGAAAGAAGAAGAAGAAGAAGAAGAAAAAGAAGATAAAAGAGAAGCACAGCAGAAATCTGTCGACTGAAGTCACTTAAGGTATGCTCACGGCTCTGTCTCAAGGTTCTGAGATATGAAGAAGCGTCGTTCTTTCTTGCGCAAAAGACCTTCGCTGAGATTACAACGGTCGATGATATCGTTTTTTGCCGAGAAAACCGACGTATCTTCGCCGACAGTTCGGGGATAATTAAACGATTTGATTGCGCGTGATTGTCGGTTTCTGTCGCGAGTTCCTAGTCACGGTGGTTACTGAACTTGGCCGAGCAGGTGATGATTTCTTCTCTCCGCGATCTCTCGTCCTTGATCCACGGGGTCAATTCCAGCGAGATTAATATTTTTTTGTACCGTACCTGCGGTAAGACAAGTGATTGGTCAGTAACTTACTGATGATTCAAAATATTGCGTTTAATCTTTCCCGAAGAGCACAACTGTTTCCATAAAAAGCGTTTTGTTTAATATCTTAAAGCATATCAATTTTACGAATCGCTATGAAATAAATTTTACAAAAAGAAATGTTAACAAATCGAGACAGGAAAGTTGGTTATAATATGCACTTTGGTTAAACTTAAACCAAACAAAACATACGAATGAGATTGACTACGATGTAATTACTTTAATAATATTATTCCGATATTATTCGCTCGATGAACGCGGTTTATTGCGCGAATAATCAATTCAAAGGTGCTTATACCCATTGTGACGTATATCGATGAGCGGGACATGTTGCAGGTCCGTTGTTAAAGTTAAACCGCATGTCTTTCAGAATAGCGGTATATTTGACTGGTTTCAGCTGAACTTTTTCTTATACATGACCGAACACATCTTGAGCCTGTGTATGTGTAAACTCTCTATATGTGTAAACTCTACCTCGATTTCTTTACGTAATTTCATACGTAATTTCGTACAGTGCTCTTCGAGAAAAATTTCATGTTCTTATGATATTCTCTTTGATACGACACTTATATTTATTTTTAATTACAATCACTCCTAAAATACTTATTGAAGACAGAAACGCACGCATTATTGTTTTGTATAACGTATTTTTGCATTTATGATATAAATCGATTTAGAGAAAATAAACAAATTTACAAAATTACCACAATCGTTGAATATGGAATTAGTGGATTTTTTAAATTGATTTTATGTGAGAGAAATAAAAATTCAATTATATTAAAGTTGTATAAAAAAACGGTGTATATTGGATAGTTCCATTTAAATTCTTATATAATCTCCTCAGACAGAATTGACAGAGTTGACGTTTTACAATCGCGCTGCAAAGTTCAAACTGATCTCACATACGCTACCACATTTACGTAGCACGCTCGTAAATATGTTATATTCGCCAAAGAAAAATAATCTACTGTAATGGCGCGACTGGCCAGAGCCCGGGGATTGAGACTTACAGTTTTATTTGCGAGTTGTGTGTATCTCGGCGCCAACCCACATGTGCGCTTCGCATTAGATACGCGAGTACAAATGAAAGTGGCAGGTACCGTTACCACGCGAGTGATCTACGTTACGACAAAAGCTTTTTCTACGTGTGTATACTTACGCGTATGCATTGATGCATACGTGTACGTTACGCACGTGCGTTCAGTCGCTTTCGTCCGTCAATTAAGATACGACGTTGTAGGCAATATATTTTTTTTTCTAAATGAAGAGGAAAATATTAGATTTCATGAAACTAATATGTACAAATAAAAGTATTAAAAATATACATTAATAAAAGTATAAATAAAGTATAAATAAAAGCCAATAAATAATAAAATTAACTAATTAACATACATTATATCGTGTAATAATCTTTTGTTTTGTGATACACAAAAATTTATAATAAAGAGAATCACATTGAATTTTGTTTAAACAATTACGTAAAATGTAATTACGCGCAAATCTCGGTTTTTGGGTGGCAAAGCGTGCGGATATTCTTGAATGATTTAACTCAAAAAGAAAAAAGCATGTATTTTTTTCTAATGATCGGTCAACAAATCAATTGAGAGTCACGTGACATCTTCTATCAGGTCATGAACGTTTCATTCTACTTAATTAGCGCGATTGTCGCAGCTGAGACTTTGAATGTGGAAAAGAAAAGATACTAATTAGAAATGCATTGACCACAAAAGATAACCGTTTTTCAACGTTTTGGAATCTGAGAAATGAGCCTAATGATGACCTGACCATCGACAAGCTAACGCAACTCACGTCGACGTCCGCGTTCGCGTTGCTTCATCCACCCGAATTCCTGTCCCTGGATAACTGTAACGGTTTTTCTCGCTTCCTCGGTAGAGGCAAAACAGAGGCGAGTGAGCGCTGGATGAAATCACTGTATTTTCTTTGCTATCTACCGGCCGAAGATTCAATCTGAAGATACTCGCTTGACTCTCAATGTCATCGATGCGATCACTAATAACAAAACAACTTATATAAATTCGTAGAATTTGTTTTTATATTATCTTATATATATATATATATATATATATATATACACACACACACACACACACACGCGCAACCGCCTGATAAAATTTTACAATACGCAGTGATAAAGTAAATCAATAAATACAGATAAGTGCAATTACTAAATTAGAATTGTATAGAAACTCGTGATTATATTTAATACATAAAACTAATATGTAAAAATAAATATATAAATAAAACTACAAAAACAAATAATAAAATTAACTAATTAAGAGAATGTTAAAACAATGATTAAAGTTGCGGCTGCCATTCAGCCGCTATGCTGTCTAGTAAGTGGCGCTCTCTAGTCTGAGACAAGGATAGATAACATGATAGAGACAAGGATAGATGTATGTGTCTGTCTGGCGGTACTACTCTAAAATTGCACTAATCTTATTAACATTTTCTCTTTTTACAAGCTTCACAATCTTTTTCTAAAACACTCAAAATATTTTTTTATGTCTCTAGAATGGCTCGAACAAGTTTTGTTGTGATTCATACTGTCAATTTTGTAAACCAAATAAAAAAATAAAAAAATGAATGAATGTTGTCTACCTGGTAACAGTCCATAAACTTTTTTTTGTTTTTCTTGATGATTTTTGCCCAGTTCATTTTTAGCGTATTTTTTTTATCCTGGAGAAGCAATTTTTTATTCTAATCAATGCAGAGTAAGTTGTGCAAAAAATATGGCGGTAAAACAGGACGATTCGGCATTCTCTTAATATAATATACATTATCTTGTAATAATCTTTTATTGTGTGATACACAAAAAGTTATTATATAAGAGAGAAAGACTTATACGCAAAAATCATCTATAAATTTTATGTAATTTTTAATTGCATTTTTAATCAAATCTTAAATTTGATATAAATAGCGCACACGTATCGACTGATCATCGTCATTCATGTGACGTGATTCGAGTTCGGTGAATATAACGTTACACCCAAATTCCTACCTTCGAATAACTGTAACCCGGTTCTCGCCGATTGTTGGTTGACAGGTAGGTACAACATCGTTGGTAGTTCTGTAAACATTAGCATTGTGAGATAATGAGAAAAGACAACGACAAGAGACAAGAACAGAAAGAATGTATAAATCGGAAACAAATTTTGATCAGATTTTTTCAATTAAACTATTTCCTTGTTCTTCTTTCTTATTTTACTTTTTATATCAGTTGAATGATTAATTTCCGCGGCTTGGTTGTTGATGTCTTCGCCGTCGAAAACGATTGTGAAAAAAAAAAACGATTGTTGTCACGTATGACTCTAAAACTGTATCACTTGTACTTTGCGAACAATTTGCTGTAGACTTTGCCGAACTTCTCTTCGTTTGCTAGAATTCTGAACACGATCTGATGAATCTTACGAAATTGAGAAAAGTTTGTGTGACGGAAAACTATAGCGCAAAAAATTATTTTTCTACTTTCAAATAAAATACGTTAATAACGTTTGACACACGCGTATTAAATATTCGCAATGATTAAAGAGATGAACAAGAATGTAAATTTCTATCTAATCAAATCTCTGAATATAACTTCATGCTTAATAAATAATTGTTATTGACGATTTATTTTACTTAATATTACATGTAGTTGCAATTTTGAAGATAGAAGTATGAGTTTTATAATAAAACATAATCACTATAAAAATCATATTTATAATCATCAATTAATCATAATTTTGTGCTTAATTTTGCATTACGAAATTTACATTTGCACTTTATGCTCTGTGCTTCGCACGAATGTAGTACACTCAATTGAGCGCGTTACTATTCGTTTGTTCTATTTATGTTTTGTTATGGAAGATGAATGCGCTTATAATCAAACAATAATTTATCAAGTGATTTGATATCGTTGTGACAGAGAATATTAATCCGCATCAGAATTGTTACCGTAATCATAAGAGACATAAGTGATGGGGCCGAAAGTGGCTCATTAGTTGACTTAATAGCATTTGGTGTTGAAATAAAACGAGTCTGTCTGCGGCCTGTTCCGCTAAAAATGAACGTTGAACCATGTTACGGTGAGCGCAATGACGTCTGTGGCGTAATCAAATGCAATTACATTATGTAATTACGTCCACAAAACGAGTTCTTCACCTTGTCCATTCCACGTGAAAATATTCTCAGACTTGTCGTTGCGAATGTCACGGTCAACATTGCTGTCTGAATAACGTTCAAATAAGTTGTTTTCCCGATTTTTCTTGTGAAAATGCAATATTTATTGTAATACTAAAAGAGTGACTATTAAAATCTATTGCGATAAGAAATCAATCATTACAATCTTTTATGTACACCAAAAAAATTTATTTATCTTGAAACAAAACAATTTTATTTTATTTAAAAACATTATTTAATCAATTCGTGCTAATGACATACTAGTATTCAAAATGTCTATTTTTTTAATTTATTTATTACATATTTAAGAGAATATATAATTTTTATATAACCAACTATTTTTATATTTTAAATTATATTTTAATTTAATTTATATTTTAAGTTTAATTTAATTTAATTTAAAGTTATTTTTATTTTTATTTTTATTTTACAAACCATTTACTAGAATAAAATAACTTTAGTACATGAGCTACATCTAAAAACTTAATTTATTAAATAGTATTAACAATTTTAATGATAAGTGAACTTTACTAATAAAAACTTTATACTGTTTTTATTATACAAAAATTAAAAGATAAAATTTTTATTCTTTATATCTTAATCCTTATCCTTTATACCTTTATACCTTCTTTATACTTAAGAAAAACTTAAAAAACTTTCTTGCATTTTTGTCATAAAAGCCATAGAAATAAATTATAACCATGTAAGAACCATCTTTTTTACTATATAAATAATAAGTAAGAATAAATTTAAACAATAAATTTAGTTATGTTTGTTTATGTTTCAGATGTGCGACCGACGGAAATCGGCATGGGCCGCTATTTTTATCAGCAACGTGTTGATCCACAGTGTAGTTATTGCAAGTCCGATCTATATTCCTCAATTTATGCCTGGAAGTAAGTACTTTATGATCCTTCTATTATATATTCCCGGGAAGAAAATCTCGATACATAGTTTTCTATGAGAGATAATATCGTTTGAAGAGTTTCGCGTAATATTTAATGGTCGCAATTTGCTAATTAAATTTGCCGTTACTTCTTACGGAAATCAAGCGGTGCCTTGTCGTATCGACCACTAGTGTGCTATTATAAATAGCTTTAATTGAACATAATTGTAAACATAAGTGAATTACGATCAACGTAAACTTGTAGAAACCTTGATTCTTGACATTCGCTATCGAAGAAGGATAACATTAAAATGTCCGTTTAAGCTTACTCATTTATGTTTCCGATAATATCTACTATATATTTTTAAATACACGTTTATATGACGTCAGCGGTTCCAAACTAACAATGTGACTAACTTGCAAGTCACATATATGTAATTTTGAAAAAAAGTCTTTCGCAATGCACATACAAACGTTGCACATTTAAACATACATTATATCTTATTATTTTGTTTATGTGTTAATAACTTCCAAATATTTTGTTTGCAAATAAATTATAAGATAATTTAGGAAAATTATTTTCCATCATAGCGCACATCTCTTTCACGACTTTTTTACAATCAATGTAACAAAGTGCACGTTTATAGTTTAAAGCATTGACTTAAATGTGACGTGAATCTCAAACTGATGCCTACAGATACATACATTTATGTTTGCTTCGACTCTCTCTCTCTCTCTCTCTTTTCTTGTAAGGCTCTTTTATACTTGTTGCATTTTCCTCCTGTGTCAGCTGAGTAACGGATCGGTACACAAATACCAGGCACCGGTAACCGGCACACAGCGAGGTCCGATCATTTTCTACTCGTGTGCGTAACCGCTTACCTGTCTCCATACTTGCAGCGACATTGAACCTACCTTGAATTCATGTTTGAACGGAACGTGGGCGGACTGGTCAGTTTTCTGTAGAAGTAGGTCAACACCACGGTCATTGGGCTCCGTAGCTTGAGGGTATTTTTCCATTACCGTTTCCAATCCGATTCCGCCAGTTTTCGTGATAGTTCTCATTGAGCAGTAGAAATCTGTGAAATACAATAACAATTTATTATTATATAATATTATTATTATTTTAATACTTTCATTTTATTTACAATTCTACCTATAAAAATTTGTTTGATTTTATATTATATGACAAAATTTAACTTATGCTCGTTGTTTTCAAGTGATAAGTCTTTGTACAGTTTTTATTCTCGAAAACTGCTCGTTTTTTGTTGCAATCAGAAATTATTTTTCTATTAATCCATAGTGCGAATAAAATTTTTTGATGCACAGATGTGTGTGCGTGAACGTGTGCGCACTCATCTTACGCATTCTTGACATGCGACATCGCTTGAAATTCCGTCATCTACATAAAGGCGTCACCAACTTTCTTTCACGGTGACTAACTAACACGTCACTTCCTCTAGCATACAATCCCTATCTTGGAAAAAGATACTCAACATTACTTTTTGGGTGAGCAATCTGACCGACTAACCTGCTACTGCAAGCACTGGGAACTATAAATAAATTTACTGTTGATTTTAACTACTTGTTATTCGAGAAACTCCAGTCGGTTTGACAAATCTTCCTTGAAAGAAAGGAACATTTTACAGAAAAACAAATGATGTTTTTACAATACGCTTGTGAGACGAAAATAGCCAAGTACTACGTTTGGTCGCAATTCTGTCAACTTAGCCGTTTATTAATTCTCCGTGTTATTATGGCAAATAAAATAAAGTGTGCGACAGTTTTCAGTAAACGTTCAACTTCACTTTGACAATATCTCGAATTTCTAATTTTGCGTAATTTTCTACGTTGACATAATTCTACCTTCACTTCTACAGCTTGTTCATAACACCGACGTGTAAATGTAACGTAACAAATATAATAACATAGCGCTCTATTCAACAACATACAATTCCGCATTCACCGCGCTAAAGCGATCTGTCACTTTCTTTGATGCGCCGCGCGGTGTGTACGGAATACCATTCACGTGGGTTTCCAAGTGTATCTCGAGACCGCGCCTGGTCCACCCAACCACCTCGCGTGAGACTTGTCCGTTTAATCACACCAAGTTGAGGCACCTTAGAATGTACACGATTGGTTTTGTTAGGCAAAAAACTTCAAAAGAAAAAGAGAGAGAGAGAGAGAGAGAAGAAGAAGAAGAAGAAGAAGAAGAAGAAAAAGAAGAAACGGTAGGAAAGAAGAGATTGTAAGATATCTTAGAGGGAAGCGGGCTATTACATTAGGCTATAACTGTGACCCACTTTTGGGTCGGGCAACTAGCTCATACATTGAAACTTAACGGTACCCGAGATGCTTCGCCTTGCCGTCTGACATCAATTCGTTCTTATAATATATAACGTTGTACACGCATTAGTAATGTTTTATATTTGATTGACTATAAAACCATTATTTGTAACATTGATTCAAACGATATATACAATCATCAGATTCTCTGACAATTGAGAATGTCATTGTAGAATGTTGCATATAGAATTTTATAATTTCTGATTATTCAGATAACTTTGTTTTTATTTTATTGATAAAACGTAAAAACTAATTTTGCAATCGGAACTGTTAAACTAGTGCGATATGTTAGCTGTGTTTAGCAAAAACACTTTTTGACAATGTAATATTTAGAGATTGTTCTATTTCCGCTTAAAATTTCACATCTTTTCACGCTTCTTATCCTCTTTCGAACTGTTTTTTCGTGAAAAAAACTAACTGTACTGCACGTATGAATCATTTGTCAAAGTAGACTACTCTGCCTTTCCGTTACATGTCTGATATTTCACTTTTCAAATTTAAACGTGACATCTGTTTGTTCACTTTTCGTTACACTGACGTAGCTAAAGACCTAGAAAACAATTCCTGTTACTTAAGAATTAACAAACCGTACACGTGATTTTTTATGTGATTTTTGCAGGAAATATTACTCGTATTGAAATAATAAATTTTCGTTTTTGTGAATATTATTCTCGAAACTTGCGAACACAAATGGATGTCAGTAAGATAATGGCTTTGATAAATAGTAGTAAAAATAAACTCTTACAGTTATTTCTCACTCTCCTGTTTGATATTACCATAATTTCATCGCGCCTGAGATATTTGTCGTATATTTTCATCGCATTTCCTTTTTGATTTGTAATTTCTATGCTGCTTATAGACGTCATCTTTTGCCGTGTATACGCGAGATCGCGCAGTTAAATGATCGGTAAGAGCATTAAATAAGGGATTATAAACAGCTAGGTTGACGATACGAGAGCGAAGTGTTCCGGACGAGAATGTAGAACACGTATCGTGAATGAACAGTTATAAACGCATTGCGTCTATAAAGGCTAATGTATCGAAGTTTTTCCTAGTATCTATATAAACTGATATACACTGCGGAGATGATCTGGGAATAGTAAGTCCGATAAAAGACGAGTGTACATTAAGATGACTAACGTCCCTACTTAGGGGGGACAATTTCTTGTTCTCTTCGTCCGTTAACTCTTTGTCCCACTTTACAATAAGATAAAAAAAATAATAGAGATTATATTATACATAGATAATGTCATATGTAGATAATATTCACTATATCGTAAAATTATTAATATCATATATATGTAAAAAAGCAAAAAGAAAATCTTGTAAGAAATTTAATTAATAAATATGTTACTTCTTTTTTTGTAAAAAAATATATGTACCTATTGAGGATTCGTTATTTTGTCAGCGACATAATGACTGATTGTAATAGCGTTATGTTTTTCTTTGTTTATATTGCAGGCACTGGTAGAAACATCAGGCACTTACCCTGCGTGTCACGCAGAAGTGGCGAAACGGGCGTGTGCATGTTCGCATTTACGTGTGCGAAGGCTAATGGCACGCATCTCGGCACTTGCATTGACCGTTTTTACTTCGGTAGTTGCTGCAAGATCGATGACGAGCCAGACATCTTCTCGCAGGACAACAGTATTGATGACGGACCGTCACCGTCAAGGCCGTTCGTCACGACTCATGGTCCGATCGAGAGCAACGACATACCGGAGTACTTTGCGAGGCCGAAGCCAACCGGCGACGAGAAGAAACCAGCTGAAGCGCCTCAAACCACGGCAAGTAGACATAGCGATCACTAATGAAGCAGCGAACCAGCCTAGCACGTTTTGCCGCGTGTCAGTAAGATGAGCATGACAGCTTGAAATTCTCAGAGGCGAGATGCGATCGCAGCAGCGTCTTCTTTCGCAAATAACAGCTTAGTTATATCAAATCAGCCGTAGTGAAGTTAGCATTGATGAAATGTGAGCTAATAATAATAATAACTAATACATGATTTGCTTCCTTCTTCTTCTTGAAGATAAAATAATTATATTGATCAAAAAAAGTCTTTTGTATTTTTGTATTACAATTTGTATTAAAATACAAAAAGAGACTTTCTAATTGATCCAAAATTATTATAAAATAATCATTTTATATACAGGATATGGCGGAAACAATAGCACAAATGCGTATGATGATTCTTTGATACATAAAAATAAATAGAAATTGTAGAATAAAATATCTTTTTCATATTATTTTTTTTTAAAAAAAAACTTGCATAAAAATAGTTATTCTATCCAATTTCGATGTGCATGTATTATCGTTACAATATAATATATCAAAATAGTACACTTTAAAATAAAATTGTTTAAAAAGAAATACAGTTTTTCAATTAATCAGTAAAAGTGAAGTTTGACTCGCGATAGATGAAGAAAAACACGAGTTATGTTTTATAAATTTATTCAGATAATAATGTCATAATAACTTTCTCTGCGTGAGATCATCGTAACAAGTAGCTCGCGTGTGTCTCACAATTCACAAGAAAGAAAGAAAGTTACTCATTAAATCGCTTCATCATCGAAATAAGGAAACTACATGTGAACTACGTGTGTAAACATAATCTGAACTTCATTTATCACAATATATTAAATCTTAATTTTAATTGAGTCAATTTATTATTATTAATATTAATGTTGATAATTATTATTATTATTATTTTGTAGACGACATCTATAGTCTCGAGTACACAAAGCACTCAAACTTCAGCGAGTACGTTGAGAGACACAACGAAGTTCGTGACAAAGAAGCCAACAATTACGACAATCGAAACGACTACTCAGACAACTCGTCTCTCGACGTTCCAAACCGTGCAAAGTGCTAGTAATAGTGGATCGAGCACGGAAACCGTGTGGTTGAAAAATGTCACCGGTACCGTAAACAGGCCATCTAGTACGTCATCAAGCACGACGAGGCAACCGACGAAACCGTTCACGATGTCTAGTTTACGACCAAACATCGAAAATGTTACAAAACTAGCGATCGCGAACAACATTACAACACAAAAAGAGAGCACAAAAAGACCTGTTGTTGTTTCTACGACGCAAAGACTAACAACAACGCAGACTTCTCACAAGCCAATTTCTTTGACTACTCATAGACCAATTCAATCCACTACAACAAAAACCGTTTTCACGACACACAAAGTAGTGCCTTCAACCAGATTCCCACCGAGAAACTCGACGACGGTCAAACCGTTGACTCAGACTACTACTAGGAAGCCTGTCAGCGGCACCAAGAGACCTACCGTGATAACGAAGCGTCCAATAGTGACCACGAAGAAACCCACTACACTGACAAAGAGACCGTCGACTTCTTCACCTATCACAAAGCCTATTACGAGCTCAAGTTTTGGTACTACTTTACCAGCGACGACCAAACCTTATTCTACCTTTGGATCGTTAAGCAGCGTCGAATTGTCCAATACGAACGTCATATTGGAGAGCACTCTAGCATCTGTTGAACCATCGACCGCGACTGCATCTACGAGCGTTAGCAATCAAAAAACTACCATCACGAAGAATCCGCAGGATGTGTCTACTACGAGAACAACGACCTCCTGGTCGACCACAAAGACGACGGCAAAATCGACGATTGAAACAACCACTTCCAGACCGACAACGGCTAAAATAACAACTACCACCAGCAAAACGACTACATCTAGACCTCTGCAATCGACGACGACGAGATCGAAACCGACTAAGGTTACTAGTACGACAACAAGGCCTGAATATATTACGATAACTACGGAAAGAACAAGGCCGTCATCGACTGTTGGAACGACGATTGGCAGCACGAGACCCAAACCTACGCAACCCAAACCTACGACAAAACCGACGCAACTCTTGACAAAGCTTCCCATGAACACGTCCAGCATCGTTGAGGTCACGACTAGCATCTCGAGCTCAATATCCACCTTTACCGTTAGAAACGAGAGCACTTCGACGCACGTACCTCCTACCAAAGGCCAGAATGTTAATCACACTCTTGAGGAGATTCCGGTAACCACTCACTCGCCAGGACTGGTGACCTGGAGTTCAAATTCTGATGAGATCACAAAGTTATCCTCATCAACGTCTACAACAATCACATCGTCAGGTGAGTAAAATATATTTTTTTCTACGTGTTTTATCTTCGCTAATTTGTTTTTTTTTTTTTCTGGATTCTTTCTTGTATTCTTTCTCGTAAACTTACAATTTTTATAAGATAGACTTTAATAGACCACCGACAAGTGAGAGACGGCGAGATTCGAATATCCTGTATCGCAACCGCGGCCTAGCGTTACTATGTTCAATCTTTCTACTTGAAATATTGCGCAATAAATCAGTCACAATATTAATTAATAAAATTGAATTACTAGCGATATTAAGTACAAATTTTGTACTTAAATATGTATATCAACTATTTTTTCTCTCTGTCGCATAGTTTTTCCACCGTAAATGTACATGAGAAATAGAAAGATCTTAAATAACAAATTATCAGAGAGAAAAAACGAAAGTGCGCGCACAAAAGAAACTAAATTTACTAATATAATCCTGCTGGGGTTTCGCTATTCTTAATGTTTTGTGATACATGCGACGTGTCGTGCAGCGTGAATCGCTGTAGTGATTTCCTATTGACGACAAAGGCGTCGCATTACACAATGGACGTTCGTTTTCTTTAATTTTTCACCAGTTTAGCATATATATAGACGCGGAACGGATAAAGCTGCTAATCACGTTTCCGATAATTCCTCGAAGAGAGTGATTGATGTCGAAGAAGAAGCATATTTAAAATTCACGACTACGCGTATATTGACAGAGGTGCGAGTCGAGACATCCGCGCGTCGCAAAGATTTCTTGAGATTTAATTGTGACAATAAAAAGAACGAAAAATATATTAATCACTAAAAAATGTGGTTTTATTGAACACTTAAATGAAATAAGAAAAGTTTTTGTATGAAAATGATTTTTTTCTACTTTTCTCTGAGCACTTTTTTTTATACAAAAATAACCATACTCGATTTGGAGCGACGTTTTATCACATTCAGATCAATTGGACCCTACGACAACTTTCGATTAGCTGCTAAACACGCATTGACGCTTTTCTTCACTCGGGAAGTGTCTCTATTTGTAAAAGACATTTGAAATCAATACTAGATAAATATAACTAATACTATTTTTAATGATGTCTCAAGGATATTTTACTTCAAGGTCAAAATTTCGAGTCATTTTGACTCAGTGTGACGGCGAGAGATTAAATTAAAAATTTAAATTACAGAAACCAAACATTTTTATTATTTTCAAAATATACGAGTTCGTGCACTTTCAACGGGGTCAACGATTTAGCGTGTAAATCAGTTTGAACCGGTTTCTCACGAATGTCATTATGAGCGCCGCGACAGGTCCAGCAGGACGCATCACTCCGTCCTTAAACGGTGTAATTACTTATATACAGCGCAAAACTGGACTGCAAGGAAAGCTAAAGTAGGTAATTCGTCCAGCATTCTGCATTTATTCGTAATGGTTCGATAAATAGACACGCTTTATCCCGCTCGAACTGAGCCACGTCGCGAGTCAAGGTTGTTTCTCAGAGGCCCTAAATGGGGACAACATTATAAGAGAACGCTTATAAGTGGATCACGCATGCCGTTGCATTGATAACACTAAAATGTATACCATCAGGTTAGGACCTAAACCGTTAGATTAGGACCTAACGGTTCACAAACCGACCATCTCGAGTTCTCCGCCGACGCAATCATCTCTCTCGCTTATTTCCGACTTCAACGAGAATCAAGATTCTCGAACTAACTTCTAATAATATACCGCTTCTCTCTATTTTGTAATAAAAAAAGAGGAAGAAGACCCATTCTCTTCTCACGACCACCCCAGATCAGAGAATCAAACTGGTTTGCGCTGCGCCTCGAATTAACATAGCGTTTATTTATTTTCAAATTAAAGCATTCCGAGAAATACAGGTTTACGACTTAAACGGAAAAGTTTATCTTATTTGTTTTTTTGTTTTTTTTTTTTTGTTTAGTAGATATGTATAGTTATGCGAAACTGTAGAAATGAATTTTCATCTAAATTTCGAGATATAATTTAATCTCAACTAAAATATATAGCCTTGTCGTAATAAAAATTATCTGTTTCTCTGCGGTATAATTACGAGTCTTATATACTATCTTTCATAAATCGCAAGCTCGCGGTTAGTTTATTTATAAATACACGCGCGCGCGTACATACAAAACAATTAATTATACCTTATATTTATTTCATTCGTTCGCTTCGCAGAACAAACGGAAACCGATTGGTCGCCGATAACGACCCCGGATGGCTGGATAATGATTCAGTCGCCTACCACCGAAAAATTACCGCAGACGCAAGAGTCGACGACCGAACCGGTTGTGGAATCTACTATAGAATCTTTGACTTCTGGTAAAGCAACATTTTAATTGCGTAGCCTTTATTCCGCGTAATTTGCTTGTGATCGGAGAACTTTTTCAAGTTGTCGAGCATTAATTTGAAAGAAATACTTTAACAAGTTACTCGAAGTCAGTCAATAGAAAACTCCACTAATTAGTCTTATTGCTCAAGTTTTAAACACCTTCGATAAATATTATTTTCAACGTTGACTTTGCTTAATTAATTAATTCTTCTAAATTCTTCGTACTTTTAGCCAAACCCGTAACGGAGAGCACCACCATCTTCGACTATGACACGCAGAAACCGATGAAAAACACCACTCCGCTACCAATCACTGGCGTCACGGTTGACTCGAAACTTCCAGTACCGATGGAGACCGTCAATATGTCGGATTACAAACAAGGTTAACATTTATTAATACCGCGTGGTCTAACATTACATGGCGCGTCTCATCTCAGTGTATGAATAAAAAAAAATTAGAACGGGTTACACACAAACCGGGTGACCGGAACGAATTGTTTTTGCTCTTGACTAGAACTAGTCTCAACACACTAAAAACAAAATAACCGGTGAAACGCGGAACTAGATTCCGGTCGCTCTTAGAATTTGCGTTATTCCATTTGATTTTGCTCTAGTTAAACTTATAAACACGATTCAACTCCTGATCGTATAACGATGCCTTCATTGTTTTGCGTTAATATCGAACTTGATATATATCTATATATCTATATACGGCAAACGTTAGTTCACTCACTGATAATAAGACAAAAATGACGCGCATATTTTCTAAGCAAAACTGATTCTTTGCTAGAAATAAAAAAACTGATCTTGTCGTTATGGAATCGACTTCCTTAATTTATGAAATATTTTGATAAATATATTGTGATAAAACGCGCACACATCGCGCACTTCCTACGTATAAATTTCCATAATTACTGAAATTTCTTCCGCAATTCTTTTTATTTTGCTCCATGTACAAAATAAATCTATTAACTAAGATTATCAACTTTGACTAATAGTATATTTTGCTTAAGTAGTTATAATAATAGTTATAATGTATCATATCCCCATCATATAATGTATCAACACACGCTATATTATTTACGGATTTACGTCTACTCAATCGCTTCTTACGCCTTTATCTGCTGTTGCAATTGGCAGAGTGCATAATCTTAATTTAAATAATGACTTTGTATAGTCATGAATTCCAATGCCAGTAATTTTCCGTAATCAACGCGACGTGCGTCGCAAGCTTGTACACAATATGGCTACTATAAAAAAAAAAAAATTAATTCCGTCTATAAGAGAAAAAGATTTAAGTGAGCGATGCATCTGTGCAACGGTACAATACATCTAGTCATACGAACATCAAGTCAACCTGTTCTTCATCATGACCGCTCAACTGAGACTCGGAAATATGATGAAGAGAATAAATTCAACGATGTTTATTCTTGCAGTGTGCGGACGAAGATTATTTCCGGAGCAGAGATACCGTGAACCGAAAATCGTCGGTGGCAGTCGAAGTAACTTCGGAAAGTGGCCCTGGCAAGTGAGTGCATTAAAAACAATATTGTCTATATACAGGGTGTCCGACAATTAGTATAAAATCTCTCGTAGGCAGGTAGAAGAAGTAAAACTGAGTCGAAAAGTCGTGAACGATTTTTTTCTATTCCATATAATAAAGAAATAATTATTGAATAAATCAAGCCAATCAGCGCCGATCTTTAACCGAACGCACGCCAGTGAGCCGCGCGAAGCGCACACCAGACGTGTGGTTCACTGACGTACGTTCGATTAAAGGTTGGTGCTGTGATTGGCTTGATTTATTCAATAATTACTCCTTTATTATATGTAATAGAAAAAAATGGTTCAGGACGTTTTGATTCAGTTTTACTCTACCTGCCTACAAGAGATTTTACACTAATTGTCGGACACCCTGTATATCATCAAAATTTCTCACTTTTAGACATTTTGAACGATAGAAAAAACTTCTATTGCAATATCATTTTATTTTACATTATTTTTTATCTTAAAATAACTAAATTATTAACAAATTATCTAAACATTTTTTGAAATTGTTTATGCATTATACTGAGTCTTTCCTCTGACTCGATTATTTAGAATATCTTTGTTGTTCGTAATGATACGAAAAACTCAAAAAAAAGTTGTTTAATTCGAAAAGGCAAACATAATGATATGCAAAAAATTTTCCTGAAAGTCATAGTTTGTTAGATTTCAAAGTCATTGCCATTTTTTTAAATGAGATAGCATATTGTCACTAATGTAGTTTATAAAAAAACCAAATTCAATCATATAACATTCGTTAAACTTGAGATGATCTCAAACATAAAACAATCTTATTAAAATAGAAAAAAAAAAACTGAATCAACTAAACATGTTTTCAATACTTTTTTATTTATTGTATTTTAGAAAATGTTCAAAGTAATTATCGTTAACTTCTATACATTTATATGAATTATAAAGCATTATTTTTTAAATTTGATATTGTCGGTCCCCAGAAATTGACGCTGCCTAAACAGAAAGTATATTAGCGATCCTCAGGGACCGACGTAGCACTTATCGTGTTAATATGATGTTAACAGCGCACAAAATGATTTTAGTTTGTATTGCAACGCGTGTTCCTAATTGGAAGTATATTTACATTCACAGCTATTTATTGAGCTTCTTCACAGCACAGCATTAATAGCAACTTATTGAAATTGCAAGACACTCATTTATTCGTATGCGAAATTACACAAAAGTTAACGGTAATCATTTTAAATGCTTTCTAAAATACAATAAATAAATAAATATTGAAAACATGTCTAGTTGATTTAGTTTTTCTTTTTCTGTATAAATATGATGTTTTTATGTTTGAGATTATCTCAAGGTCAACAAATCTTATACGATTGTGAATTTGCTTTTTTTTATAAACTCTAGATTATTTTTTTTTTTTATAAACGACATTACGTTAATAAAAATATGCTATTCCATTTTTAAAAAAATGACAATGAACTTTGATATCTTAAAAGCTATGACCTTCAGAAAAATTTTTTGCATATCATTATATTTGTTCCTCAAATCAAACAACTTTTCCCTTTAGTATTTTTTCGTATCATTACAAACAACAAAGATATTCTCAATGATCGAGTTAGAGAAAATATTCTGTATATAATTCTGAGTACATTACGTTTTGCGTAATATATAAATGTATAATAATTATTTGAGAATACTTTTATGTAAATTTCTGAATATATATGAAACCAACTTATAACAAATTAGTAGTGATTTATAATAAATATTATAAAATGTATTTTTTTCGTGACATTTATAATTTGTCAAATAAAAATTAATTGTGGCAATGAATTCTTCTGAGTAAACAAAGGAACGATCAACGATAGCTCATAATTTTCTACTTTAATATCAACAGTCATTTCCGGTTACGTAAACGTCATCATGTGTAAATTATTTGACGGTCGCGTGTTCGGCGACTCATATGATCGATCCTTTTACTCGGCATAAGATTTCTTTGCAGATCTCATTACGTCAGTGGCGATCGCAGACGTATCTTCACAAGTGCGGCGCGGCATTGTTGAACGAGAACTGGGCTATCACTGCGGCTCATTGCGTCGAAAGGTGGATAGTTTTTATGATAATTAAAGCTGAATGAAACTTAAAATCGACTTGCGATTTGCTATATTTTGCTTTTGAGTAAAACCTTTGTCTTTGAATTGACAAGTAAAATATATTTTGTAGTGTTCCGCCGAGCGATCTATTGTTAAGAATCGGCGAACACGATCTGGCAAGCGAAGATGAGGCATATGGTTATCAAGAAAGAAGAGTACAGATAGTGGCAAGTCACCCGCAGTTTGATGCGCGAACTTTTGAATATGATCTTGCTCTCTTAAGATTTTACGAGCCCGTTGTGCCATTTCAACCGAACATCTTACCAATCTGCCTGCCCGATGATGATGAAACCTATGTCGGTCGCACTGCTTTCGTTACTGGCTGGGGCAGACTTTACGACGGTATTAAAAACAATAGCAATAATCAATCGTTATATATATATATATATTTTTTTAAATATATTGTGCCAGCTTATTTTATAATTATACAAAAAGCAGATTCTGAACATAAATTTATTTAACAAATTAACTAAGAATTAAGGCCTACATAGTTTAAAACTAATCGAGAAAAACAGACGTTGGATGTTTTGCGGAATAAATATATATATGAATATATATGAATACATATATTTCTATTTTTAGGCGCATTGGATCATATTATTTGTTAAATTTTTTGGTTAGTTTTAAACTATATGGGCCTTAAATCTTAGTTAATTTGTTTGAAACGTCACGCCGATAAAAGATGGCGTTATTCACAGAGTATTATAGTATCGAATATTGCGAGAGAAACATCACGCCGAATTTGAAAGGCAATCGCACGGAAAGCGAGAGGTTTCAGGTTCGACTCCTGGCCGAGGTGTTTTTTTCGCAATATAATTTCTAAATTAATTGGGAAGGAAAATGGATATTCTTATATATATGTGATGCAAGTATAGCGTCCTATATGAATTTACAAATGGAAATTTCAATTCGGACAATCAAGTGTAAATAATTTACACTCCTAAAAATATAAATATATTTATATATATTTATTCTGCAAAATATCCAGAGGATCAGCTCGTATCACCTGTTAAATTTCTCGGTTAGTTATAAATTTATTTGTATTGCCGCGTTTCATAATCACAAACGATAAAAATAAAACCTGTATCTGTTTTTATAGAGGGCCCATTACCGTCCGTATTACAAGAAGTTGCAGTACCGGTCATTAATAATACCGTATGCGAAGCTATGTATAAGAATGCAGGTTTCGAAGAACACATTCCGCATATATTCATCTGCGCCGGGTGGAAAAACGGTGGATTTGATTCGTGTGAGGTCAGTTTTTTTCTATCTTTTCACGCAATAAATTCGTTTAAAAACTCATTAGACACACTCATTAAAATTTGCAGTTTTAAAACGCATTCTAAAACTAATAATTTTTTATTTTTCTTAGGGTGACAGTGGAGGTCCTATGGTAATTCAAAGACCGAAAGACAATCGATGGATACTTGCCGGAATTATCAGTTGGGGAATAGGTTGTGCTGCGCCCAATCAGCCAGGCGTTTATACGCGCATCTCCGAGTTTCGCGACTGGATCAATCAGATTCTGCAGTTTTAATTTCATGGCGAAAGCGCATGAGTTCTGCGCGCTCGAAACTCGCGGTACCGCGTCGCGCCAGTTTCTTTGGACATTCAAGTGACCGTCAAAATGGGTCGATGGCACCATCTGCTGGAGCTGTGAGTCAAGTGTAATCTAATATTAAAAATTGAGAGACTATGCGCGAGGATTCACAGGGATCTGTATTTGCGTATCCGGCCGATATGTGGCGCCACTGATTCGGTTTTCGCGAGTGAAACCGCGCTTACCCGTATCATTTTTCCAAATAAATTTAACGTGGTATAACAATTCAATACAAGAACAAAAATGTGATACCATTTGTGGTAGAGACATTAAATATCATAGATTGATGATATATACAGTACATCAAACTTTGTGAGAGAAGATCGAAACTTTCGATCAACTTCAATTTATCTCCTATTTTAGAATCACAATGTTACATCATTCTAATTCTAAAAAGTGCAGATACTATTTTTTCTATAAGATAAATTATTCTTTTAGATAATTTTATATGCTCATAGTGGCATACTTACGTTTTCTTCCTTCTTTTACTAAACATGTATCGATTTGTTTTCTTTTTTGTGTTCAGTTTGCTCAAAGCCTGATAATTAATGTATATAAAAGTACACGTAGTATATAATTAATAAATGTATTAATAGATGTAAATGAAATAAGTATGTTATTAATTATTGTTATAAAAAATACACTCATTTAATTATTTATATAAAATAATTTTCAAAAGTAATCTTTATATTTGAGAGTGTTGCCCCTCAAATAAATTATATAAAAAGTAATACATTAAACACATTAAAATACAATATACATATACTTCTGTAAGTTTGCCACTTTATTTTTATTTAAATTAAATTGTTTTGATTTTATGAATATTTTAATAATTTATATTGTATTTTTTGTCTTTTTTATCCAATTTTCAAAACAATAATACATTGTGTAGCTGCTGTGATTTAGAACTCACATATTTTTCTAAACACATAGAGTTGTATAAAAAATATAGTAAAATATAATAAAATAAGTTTCTGGATCACAGTGCATATCTAAAGATCATCTGTATAAATATTGTTGTGTGGTTCAGCAAACTTTTTATATAATCCTGACAAATATTTGAAGTCCAGAAAGACAAACATTGATAAACCAAAAAAGTGTTTCTCTTAAATAAATAAAAGTTTCTTTTAAGTAAATAAAACTCCATATTTGCTTTATTAATTTTTAGATAAATTTATCTTCTTCTAGATAACAAAAAGATAAAAATTTTAAAGAATTTATTGGCTCTTTTAATATTTGTCAACACAAAAACATATCTATTCGAAATTATTTATAAGTGTATTCTGATTATATTTATTTATAAATTGTATTTGTGTTTAAATTTTATCTATTTGTAAAGTGTTGAAATATATACACGCATCTGAACGCAGAATAAACAAAATACCTCGAAAATTTCTAAACTACAAAATGATTATTTCTAAATTATTTAGATTGCTGTACATCTAATTCAATTAGTTTAAAACACATATTAGGCTGTAACATAAGTTTCCCAGATTATACATAGATGGCTGTATGCATGCGTTAGCGTAATAATATGAACCCGGGAAAAAATGGATTAGATCTAACTTAAATTTAACGAGATGAAAAAAATGAAAAAATAGATCTAATTAAATCCAAATTAAATCTAAATAGATATAAAGTAGATCTAAATAAATTTAAAGTAGAGCTAAATAGATCTGAGGTGATCTATTATATACTAGATCTGAGTAGATATAAAGTAGATCTAAGAATAAATATAATGTCAATTTACATATAGATTTTTACTTAAATCTATGTAGATCTACTTTATATCTATTTAGATTTAATTTATCTATCTAATTAGATCCTTTTTTTTCATTTCTTTTTATCTCGTTAGATTTAAATCAGATCTAATTCATTGTTTCCCGGGAAGAAGAAGAATTGCACGTATTACTTGATGAAGACTCTGCCCAATCGACTTGTCAGCTTGCGGCGCAATTAGGAATTAGTTACATAACAATTTCTCGACGTTTACATGCAATAGGAAAGATCCAAAGATACATAAATGAATTTCACATCAATTAATTGAACGTGCGATTGACAATCGACTTACACGTGTGCCTTTTACTGACTACGCCAAACCGAAAACAAAAGAGTTTTTTGTGACAAATCGTAAAAATTAATGAAAAATGAATTACAATAATCTTAAGTAATTAAAACATTATGTAGATCTAGGATAACCAGTCAATTCAACACAACACAATATTCACATCTATAAGGTTCTTTCCATCTATGTACATGCGAGTAGAAAGACGTACTTTATTTTTTTGAACTGTTACCACCGGACCAGACGATCACAGGGAATCGTTACAGTAAACAAATGAAAAATTCAAATCAAGTATTAATTCAAAACTGGCCTCATTATAGCTACAATTCGACGCAAAGTCATCTTGCTGCATGACAATACTAGACCTCCATGTTATTAAAAAGATAAAAGAAGTACTGTTGAACGGAAAGTTCTTCCGCATTCGGTTTATTCCAGACATAGCTCTTTTTGATTAATATCTATTCAGATTTATGCAGCACGGAATTGTCTGATGAGCGCTTTGCGAAATATGCGGATGTCCAAAAATGGATCGATAAATGGACTGTTTTTAAAGATGATAGTTTCTTCAGGCGCGGTATTTGCATGCTGCTTGGATAGTGTCAAAAAATAATAGAAAATAATGGAAAATTTTTTTATTGATTAAGATACGTCATTGACGTATCTTATTGTCAAGATTGATACATCTTATTCATTCGATTTGAAAGAAAACTGATTAAAAAATCCAGGAAACTTATGTCACAGTCTGATGCAGTGCACATCATTAATTTATTAATTATTTGCCAAAGATTGCGCATTAGTAATATCCGCGATAATCGAAAACCGCGATTGTTTGAATTTGAAGCACTTTATCTGAATCGATATCGATCGAGCAGAGAGAACTTCTCGCTGAATCTTATTCTAGATTTACATAATCATAAGCGAATTCCGATTGAACATTAATGTATTCTTGAATATCTAGTTATCTCGATTGATCCTGTGAAGGATTCAGACAAACGTGTCTGTAGATAGGTTTCCGCATAAATTCTGTTTCTCTCTCTTCCTCTTCGCGATGAGCACTTTACTTCGTAGTTATTTGAATTTTCTTTTTTCATATAGAAACGAATTGATAGTGCCGCAATGAAGATATATTCGCATTAATTTTAATAGTCACGAAGATCGACTCGTTGAACATTTTTAAGTATAAAAATTGATTTCGATTTTCAAGTATTAAAATTGTTGATCGTAACTACGAGAGTCAATTTTAAGTCAGATTTGAAACAAAAACATGATAATAAACCGTGATATATTCTTACTGTCGTAATATTGTTTAATTTAATTTATAAAAAAATTCATATATATATGTCATGTGTATGTATGTATAGCGAGACACGTGTGCACGCGTATGTAATTTATTACGCGCATTTTTGTTGCAAATAGAATTTATGAAGAAATGGATTATACACAAAGAAATGTATATTCTGTACTTTGTATTTTTAATAGCATTTGTCAACGTTTTTTCAACAACATTGTGCGCGATCATGTCAACAGTTCTATTGCAACGTCACATTTATTCATCGTTTATACACTCTATATATTTAAATAGTATTATACATTTCTGACATAATTTCTTACATTCTCTCTCTCTCTTTCTCTCTCTCTCTTTCTCTCTCTCTCGTTATCACGAGTGATGTTTGTTGCTAATTAAAGGCGTCAACAAATGTCGCATCGCGAAATACCGCAATTGGAATAATGTAATTCAAACGCATTTGTAAATAGTCGTTCTATTGATCGGATTTTGTAATGTGTGTATGATGCGGTATTATGCAAAACGTATGCGTCGTTTCACCCTACATGCCGCTTTTCATTTCTCATCACTACGTCTGCTTTTGTACTTACCGAATGATAATTAAAACAACGATTATCCGCATCAACAAAAGCAAACTGTCAGTTATACTTCCTTTTTCTGTTTTCCTTTTTTTTTTTTAATAGATATGTGTTTGCCGTGTGTTATTCTTCTTGTGCGCCCCGTCGCACTTCATACAGTACTGCAAACAACAGCGTGAACGTTTGATATTTGCGCAGCGGAAGAGTTCATGATTTCGAACATCGCCCACGCATTGCAAACGCCCACCGCTCAGAATTGGGCGTGAATGAGGGCAAGCCAGGGATGAGAATTTTGTAAAATTGAGTTTGCTGGTTTAATGAGCAACCGGGCGCATTCAATAAATTCGTAACGACGGAGGCGTGTCTCCAGCGTTGCACAGAAACTTTGACATCATTAAGTACACACGTTAGTAAAAATATTTACTTTATCTTTTTCCTCCATTCCTAGTTCATACATAACAAGACAACTCTTATTGCATAACTTGTTCGATTTAGAATAAGTAACATTATTTTTATAAAACTTTTTTTTATTATTATTTTAATAGATTTTTTGATACAGAAATCAAGATGATATCAAAAAATGTGAATTTATAATTATATAAGAAAAATATATTAACTCTACATATGGTTCTGGAGAACACTATAGATATTACAGAAGTATAGAAAGAAAATAATGAAACTAAACAGCTTGATAAAGCAAAATGTGTATTTCGTATTTTGTACGAAAATAACGTTAAGTTTCAAGCGCTTGCGACATTCGTGTAAACCGAGTCAGTTGTGCCGCGATCGGAAATACTCGTCAAGGTTCGGATTGGGAACGTTATATTGATTTCCTATAGGTTCTGATCGATTTTGAGAACAAAATTTAAGAACACTTTTGGCTTTGATTTATTAGTCAACAACATCTTTTGCTTCATATAAGGCTAGAATACGAGACAATAATGAAGATATTAATAAACCAAGCTATATAAACGCTGAGAAACGGATTACATATTTGTTTTTTATTGAGTGTCTGCGGCCTAATAAAAAAATAAGCAGCGTTACTGCGAATGTCGTCGCTCGCAGAAAACCTATCCGAGGCTACACGAAACAGTTTAGATCTATTAAAAATTACGCAACGTGCAAGATTTCACGAAGACCGAAATTGTGTTTCTTTACACGAGATATTTTTAGAATACTAGATGCATGAATTCGCACGGGATATATTCGACAGCACACATTCTGCCGATGCTAACGGTGCGTTGCCATTCGTTAAGGATCGAGTCTTCCATATTTGGAAGAATCGGTTTCCTTAAACCGGTCAGTTGTAAAGTATCTCGCGAGAAATATACAGTTAAATTTTCGCTAATCAATGCTTTGATATGTCTTTGATTTGTTGAGCGTGTTAAATGCGTTTAACACGCACGGTTAATTATTACTGGATGTTTCGATTGAGCAATAGAATGAGAATGTGCATTTCTTTGATAGTTTACTACAAATCAATTTCTTATTAAATGTAGCACGGAAGGATTGAAATTTCTACATTCATGAGATTCGTGTTGCGAAAGACAACTCAAGAAGAATTTCAAAGCTCTTTTCGAAAGCAATCTTTGAAGCTCAAGCGCGCAGACATACGCACGAAAGTATAAAAAAATATTTTTCCAAGGTTTTATTTTTGTAATTTTTCGAAGCTATTTTACAAAATTTTAAATACACTGTAAAATGCAGTTGAATATTATCTCACCAAATAAGCGCAAAAAACTCTTTACTCTCTATCTCAACTGAGAAAATACAAAATTGTGCCGTGTGTGTTATTGTCAAATGTACTCTTAATCATTACGTTGTACGGTTTGCGTATAAGCGCGCGA